CCTTGATATATATCCAAATTGAATTCTCCAGAAGGACTACAAGGGGGAAATGTATACTTCCTTTGAAACAAGGAGTACAAGCAAGATGAGTGTTCATGAACAGGCAAATGAGGAGGTAAAATGAAATATTTTGCAGCAGTAGAAACAACATTAAGCTGTGAACATAACAACATGGATCAACTTTAGAGCTGCAGGGCTGAGTAAAAAAAAAAAAAGAAAGAAACACAATGAGATACAAAACACAAAATCACTTATGAATATTAAAATTAGAGTACATAGACTTTTGGGTAAAGTGTCACATGTAATCAGGGAAACATTTCTGCAACAACAAACGGGAAAGGCTATATTAGTTATAAAAATTATGTTTTGTTATCAGGATATTAGGAAGCTATGGAAGAAATGAGAACAAGATTAATTAAACTTCCAGAGGGGACAAATCGATTTTGAGGCAAGAAGATGATTTCCAGGGATTTTTATGTTGGAGGAACTTTCTGCTTGTGGGTGCCAACTCACTGTTGGTCTTGGTCCAAGCAAAAGGCCTCTGTTGGGGTTAAAATGGACTATCGGAGCTCTAAGCAGTTGTGGCTAGGGTGGAGTGACAACTAGAAATTTGAGGGACTTTAAACACATGTCCAGTCCTCCCCATAGGACATTTATGGAGTACTGGTGGGCTAGGCCAACAGTGAAATCCCCTACACTCTGTGGTAATTAGGAAACAAAGATACTGCTCAGCGAGGGAACCTGCATTAAAGTCACTGACACAAACTCACCCAATACATGGGCCACATTGTGAAACTAACTACATGCAATGGGAGGCTAAAGAATTAAGCTGAAACCCTCTAACGAAGATTAATAGAACCTCTCACAGACCTTCAGGGATTAAGAGACAGAGACCCAACAGACTCCCGATCCAAAACCTGGAAAGGTCAGTCTCTAAGATTAGAAAAAAAAACTAAGTGTGGAATGAATCTTACTAGAACTCCAGCAAGGACCTAACTCGGCTCAGTCCCCGATCAGATTCAGTAATCAGCATCTCACTCTGTCCCTACCAAAATAAAGGGGAAAACATCTCTGGCAAAAGACAGCATCATCTAGAGCATCTCTGGTTCTTAGAGTCAGTTCTTTTATCCACAATGTTCAGCATACAGGACAAAATGACAAGGATGTAAGACCATTTGTAAAAAGGAGACAGTAGAAGCAGATCTTCAGATCACCTCAATTCTGGAGTTGGCAACAAAGATTTTAAAAACAATTCTGATTAATAGGATCAAGAAAATAGAGGATGGATGAATTACATGAAAGCGTGGAGATTTTCACCAGAAAACTAGGATCCTTAAAAAAGAATAAAATGGAATTTTCTGGAGTGATGATAACATTCTAATCTTGAGTAGGTGTGGATTATACACCAGTGTATGCATTTGTCAAGCCCTGTGTAGGCACACTTAAGCTTTGTGCATCAGTGTATGTAAATTTTACCTTAAAATAAACAAACTGTAAACAAATATTGGAGCACAGTTAGTGATATACATGCTGAAGTATTTAGGGAGAAGCATGTGAATATTTGCCATTTACTTTGACATGTACCCAGAAAAATAACATAGATTGATGGGTAGGAAGAGGGAAAGATAGATGTGTAAAAAATCAAGCAGAGTTAAAATATGCTAAAGGTAGGAGTATTACAGATGTTCACTGTATAAGCTTTCTTTTCTTTTTTTAAAGATTTTATTTATTTATTCATGAAAAACAGAGAAAGAGAGAGAGAGAGAGGCAGAGACACAGGATGGGGGAGAAGCAGGCTCCATGCAGGGAGCCCCACCTGGGACTCGATCCCAGGACTCCAGAATCACGCCCTAGGCTGAAGGCGGCGCAAAACTGCTGAGCCACCCAGGTTGCCCTGTAAAAGCTTTCAACTTTGCTTTATATTTAATGTTTTCACAATAAAATACTGCTATAATAAGAGGATATTATAAATACTGATATACAAAATAAATTTGACAATTGGATGAAAAATTGACAATTTCCTCAACTTAACTAGTTACCTGTAGTGTTTTCAAACATTCCGCGTATTTTTTTACATTTCCTTCAAAATGTGGAACCTAATTTCCGGACACCTTGGTGGCTCAGTGGTTGAGCATCTGCCTTTGGCTCAGGTCGTGATCCTGGGGTCCTGGGATGGAGTCTCCCACTGGGCTCCCTGCAGGGAGCCCGTTTCTCCCTCTGCCTGTGTCTCTGCCTCTCTCTGTGTCCCTCATGAATAAAGAAATAATTTTTTTTTAATGTGGAGCCTAATTCCCCTCCCCTTGAACATGGGCTGGATTTCATGGCTACCTTCCATTGAATAGGAAAACAACAGAAACAGCCACTGCAATGTCAGGGGTGAGGTCCTGAAAGGCACTACAGTTTCCTGTTTGTTCTCTCTGTTGGAGCATCTGCTGAGAAAACCGGCTGCCGTGTTGCCTCATGGAGAGGCCCACTGGGTAAGAAAGAGAGGCCTCCTGCCAACACCCAATGAGGAACTGAGACTCCAGCCAATAATCACTGGATGAGCTTGGATTTGGATCCTCCAGTCCCGCTGAAGCCTTTGGTTGTCCATAACCCCAGTCAACATCTTGACTATAATTGCATGAGAGAACCTTGAGTCAGAACAACCCATTTAAGCTGCTCTTTAATTTCTGATCTACACTCTTTGAGATGAACTTTATGCATCACAGCCGTTCTAGAGAGCGATATGATACTACTTAAGACATATGCTGCCCTATGACCTAAAACTTCTAGGTCCTAGATGTATATCTCAACCGAATTTTCTAAGGACCACAAGGGGAAATGTACATTTTCTGTAGCACAAGGAGTACAAGGAAAATGAGTGTTGATCAACATGCAAACGAGGAGATAAAATGAATATATGCTTGTTTTAAGCCCTCGTTTTTAATACAGTTTTTACGCAGCAATAGAAAACTAGTGCATTTAAGCGGATAGAACAGAGACCAGAAAATTTGAATAGTCGAATGTTTATTAAGGAAACTGCATCCATTAGCTAAAACTTTCCCACAAAGAAAACCCCATGCCTAGATGGCTTCACCTATAAATTCTTCCATATATTTAGTGAAGAGAATTGACACCAATCTTGCACAAGTGTTTCCAGAGAACAAATAAAAAGTTAAAGATAAAAAAGAAATATTTTCTTTTTTTTAAGATTTTATTTATGTATTCATGAGAGACACAGAGAGAGAGAGAGAGAGAGAGAGAGAGAGAGAGAGAGGCAGAGACACAGGCAGAGGGAGAAGCAGGCCCCACGCAGGGAGCCCAAATGTGGGACTTAATCCCTGGGACTCCAGGATCACGCCCTGGGCCAAAGGCAGGTGCTAAACCACTGAGCCACCCAGAGATCCCCAAGAAATATTTTCTAATTCTTTTAGTGAGGTCAGCATAACGTGCCAGAGTCCTTACAAGAAAGGAAAGTTAGATCAAGCTTGCTCTTTTTGGTAAATATAAATGCAAAATCTTGAACCAAATTTTAACAAACTGAACCCACAAAAAGAAAAAACAAGAATAGGGATCCCTGGGTGGCGCAGCGGTTTGGCGCCTGCCTTTGGCCCAGGGCGCGATCCTGGAGACCCGGGATCGAGTCCCACGTCGGGCTCCCGGTGCATGGAGCCTGCTTCTCCCTCTGCCTGTGTCTCTGCCTCTCTCTCTCTCTGTGACTATCATAAATAAATAAAAATTTAAAAAAAAAAAAAAGAAAAAAAAAAGAAAAAACAAGAATATAATGTAGAACAAAAGAAGCCAGACACAAAGGAGTATATACATATGATTCGGTTTCTATAAAATATAAAGAAGACAACAGTAATGTATGTTATTAGAAGTTATCACGATTACCCTTTGGGAAATGATACTTAGGAAGGAGCACCAAGGTGTTAGTAAGATTTTATTTCTTTTTTTAAAAGATTTTTATTTGTTTATTCGAGAAAGAGGCAGAGATGTAGGCAGAGGGAGAAGCAGGCTCTTCTCAGGGAGCCTGATGCAGGACTTGATCCCAGGACCCCAGAATCACACCCTGAGCCAAAGGCAGACACTCATCCACTGAGCCACACAGGTGCCCACAACATGATACCATTTGATAGATGAGAACACTGAGCCAAAAGTGACTTGCCTGAAGTCATGCAATTAAAAAAAAAAAAAAAAAAGAATACTGCTAGGTCTCCAGTGGGAGACTTTTCCCTTTAAATTTGAAAGATCACATTCTTTTCCACTATTCACTTGATCTTAGCCAAAAGGCCGAGAAGCGATCTTTTCCACTATTCAATACTGCCACCCATCCCCCAGCTTTCTAGAGGACTGATGGAGGCTTTTTTTTTTTTTTAAAGAAAAATATATGGAAATTGTAAATACGTGGCTGAAACATTGTGGGAGAAGACCAGAGGCAGGGGAAAAAATTGAACAGCAAATATAGTTTCTGGGAAAGAGCCTGGGCCCGAGGCAAAAATCATCACAGAGACAAAGAATACTATGGAGCAACAGTCCTAGCTGGGTCTTGGGGGCTCCACTCCTACCCTAACCACAAATGAGGGCCTTTGACACGTTTAAGCAATCTCCACCCAAATTCCACACCAATTACACGGGGGGCCTGGCTCTACAACCCTCCTTCTCTCCACCATCCCACCAAAAATACTTTATTAATGAGAGGACAGCATAAAGCCACAGGACTGCATCTGCTCGAGGGCAATCCAGAGCGAGCAGCCTGGCACCAGCCCCAGCTGACACCCGACCCTCCTCCAGTGAGGACCCACTAATCTCTGCCTCCCTATAATTACCAGATGCCTGGCTCAGGGCCTGGCTGGTTATTTAGAGAACCAGGGCCTGCTCCCAGCACAGATCTCTGCAGGGCTGGGGCTGCAGGCACTGTCCACTCAACCCAGCTGCCTGAAGCTGCCATCTCCCCCCCCACACCACTGTGCGGGGCCCCTTCCTGCCGCCTCTGCCCCCCGAAGGTCCGCGGCACCATGTCGCTCGCACACACAGCTGCGGAGTACATGCTGTCCGATGCCCTGCTGCCTGACCGCCGAGGCTCCCGCCTCCAAGGACTGCGCCTGGAACTGCCCCTGGACCGCATGATCAAGTTCATAGCCGTGGGCTTCCCCCTGTTGCTCATGTCCCTGGCATTCGCCCAGGAGTTCTCCTCTGGTAAGTGGCTTCCCAGGCCCAGGGCACGAGACCCCACTTTGCTTCACTCTTTGCATGGGCTCTGAAGTGAGGCAGCTCCCACACTGTCCAGCTTTTGCGACTTTGGCCTGAGCATCACCCAAGAGGCAGACGATGCGTGAGTGTAGGGCACCAGCAGAGCAGAGGCGCCAAAAAGCTTGAAAATCATTTCCCAGCTTTTGTAATAAAAATATTTAGTTTTGATCTCAGTATTCATATATGTTACATATATTGCATAAAGATGTATTTATGCATCTTTGCAATAAATTAAGCTTTTATTTAGATTTTCACATGGATGAGAGAGATTGGGGCTCCATGATCTTTTCAGAATGTAGGACCACTAATGGCCTTAGCCATGCTTTAGACAAGCCTCTCATGGTCTGGGCCTTCACCTACCCTCCCCCTCCAGGGCTTCCGGGTTTGAGTACTTATGTTTAGAGCCTGACACTTCAGAGATGCTAAACAAATCCATGCCTTCTCCACAGACCGTGGCCACACACACAAACATGAACACACACACACACACACACATATCTGGTGTTCCAGGCCCTAGATGGACTCAGCAAATTTCCCACCTCTATTAAAGGGGGGACTTCCTGAGAATTGGGATTTCTGGCTTTCTTTTCTGGCTGTGCAATTAGCTTACTATTTCCCAAGGAGCCAGTCAACCTCGCACTGCCTCTTAGGTCACCCCCAAGATGGAGAGGACCACTGGTTCCCCCTTTCTGCCTCTCTCTAGAGAATGATGGCAAAACCAATCTCTCCCTCCAAGCCCACTTTCCTTTCAGCACAGCCTGCTCACCCTTGCTCCTGCTGTGGGCTCAGAGACCTCACCACACCCCCCCCACCAGGAGTGAGGGGGGGCCCCTGTGTCTGGGGGTCCAGGGGGAGCTCTGAGGGGAAAGAGCCCACATCTGAGGCCAGTCAGCAAGCACATGGACAGGCCTGAGCCAAACAGACCTGTGCTGACTCGGGCAGCGCAGCCCCCCGAAATCAGGCCATGGCAAGGAGAAAGGACCTGCCAGATATAGAAATTGGCGGAGCCGTGGAGCCAACCCCCGGAAAGCCCAGGGCTGGCTGTCCCCGGGGCCCCCGTTCCTCTGCTCCAAATCCAGGCCACCTCCAAGCTGTGTTCCCGTTCCAGGGCCTCCCATCCGCTGCTTCTCTCCCAGTAACTTCAGCGCCCGGCAGGCTGCCTACGTGGACAGCTCCTGCTGGGACTCGCTCGTTCACCACCAACACGATGAGCTTGGCCAGCACCACATGAAGTCCCTGTGGCCTCACAAGGTAAAGTGGGCCGGGCTCCATCCGGCCGCGGGGTGGCGCGTGGAGCAGCCCAGAGCCACATCCTTCTCTTCTCTCTGGCCCCTTCGCCACCCTGCACCCCTGCTTTTTCATTTTCATCTTTGACTCTCATGTTTCTTCAAGTGTCTGGTGAGCTTTGGCGGTTCACTTTTGTCCGATTGGAAGCTTCGTGCCTATGAGTGAGGCTGGCTGACCAGCCTTCTGTTTACAGTGAACCCTCTGGGCCAGTTCACTAGGAAAACCTCAAGTATTGGAATGTGTAATCCTTTCTCTTGGGCCGGTTCCCAAGAAGAATCACTGGTTCCTTAATCTGTGCAGGGGGGGGGCAGGGTGCAATCAGTACTAAGCTCCGCTGCCAACCCTCCAGGGTCTCAGCACTCAGTATTCACTCAATTTACTTGGTTCTCATTGCTGTTCCTCTGCCCCTAATGGACCCGAGTTGAAGAAGCTCTTTAATGTTTCCAAGGGGTGAACCACAGGCCTTCCGCCAGGGGATGGAAAGGGCAGTCGCTCGATAAGTGCATCATGTTACAGAGAAGATCTGTGTGTCTGTTTTGTCAATATTCCTGTTTGCAGCCCCACCTGCACCCTCATTTTCAGATGTACCTCATGTCTGCAATTCCTGAGTCTTACTGGCTCTGTGGCACAAAAACAGCTTGCCTGGCCTGCCTCAACTCCCCATCCTGCCACGGGCTGCTATTTCCTAGCATGCTACTGCTTTCTGGCTTGCAACATTTTATGGCTCTTGTCTCCTGTTTTCCTTGTCCTTATAGAATAAGGTCTTTTTTTTTTTTAATCCCTTTATTGTCATTCTCTTGGGGCTTTGTGAGGGAGCAGAAGTTATGTGTGTGTCCAATTCACAATGTTGAATCGGAAGGCACTCCTGACATTTACCAGTTATGACAATTTACAAGGCCTCCAAAGGCCACATGGGTCTGGAACCCAGACAAAACCAGAGACTTAATGGAAAGAGTTCATGGGGGTCTCTGTCACTGGAAGTCTTCAAGCGGGATCCAGATGGCAACAAGGTCAAGATATTGCAGACGAGATTCAAATGTCAGAAAAGAGTCAAACTGTCTGACTGTAACGCCTAAGAGCTCTTTAAACCGATTCTCTGCCTCCACTTCAGACTATTCAAACAGACTCTCTGGGGGTCAAGTTTATTTTCAAGAAATGCTATCTCTTGAAATTAAAAGTGATTTTCTCTAGTGGACTGGCATAGTTTTCCTAACCTGTCTCTGGTGTTTAGTTCAGAAAAAAAAAAACACACACACACACAACACCCCTTTTTCTTCTACCTAGCTGCAACCAAATATGCAGCCAAACTCTTTTTCAAACCCCCTCCTCTAAAACAAAAAGCATCCCTGCTTCAGAAGAAGCTATAGTCAAGTAGTCCTTAAGGGAATAAGCTCCAAAATCAGACTGCCTACTTCCCGATCCTGCTCACCCACCCACGAGATGTGTAACCCCGTACAGGTCACCTAACCTTCTCATGTTTCCATCTCCTTGTAAGACAGATGTTAATAGCGCCTGCCTGCCAGCATCCTCCTGAAGATCAAATGAAATATGCATGTGAAGCACCTAACACAAATGTAGCTTCAAAACACCCGTCACAAGTAGTTTTTACTGTGGGCAAGATAGTGGCTTATCTCAGCAGCAAGTTGTGTAGTTGAGGACACACCTCAATGTCAGCTTGTGTACATACATAACAGAAGTAGCCCCCAAAGGATCCCAAGACGGTGCCTGCTGGTGTCGTGACGTGACCACAAATGCAGAGATGAAAAGACCACTGCACAGGAGGGGAGGCCACAGGGACGATGCGGGATTGGACCTCCTCGTCTCAGCAATGGTGGGACGCCTGGCTGGGCTTGGAAAGCTAATAGACTCTAGATGTCTGGTGATAAGAACTTGGAGCAAAGAGAGGTTGATTAAGAATGAAGACTGAGAATGAAGACACTCTCCCCCAGGATGTGATGCTGTGACCACTGCTGGCTATGATCTCTGGTTGGCGACCCAGGCTAACATTTGTGGGGGAATAGTGGGGCTCCTGTGTTCTCTGTGTGTCCCCCTCTCCCCTTCTCTCTCCCTCCTCTCGTCCATCTCCCTCTTCCTGTTCTCCCTGGGGTCCTACACACCTACACAGACCCCGGATCTGAGGAGTGGAGCTGGGGAGCATAGAGATCAACCATCCCTGCTCCTCTGGACTTCACAGCCTGGGCCTGTGGCGGCTCATTCCCCACGGTGCCTCCCCTTTCTGAGGCAGGAAGCAGGGATGAGAGCCCCTCACTCAGAGCCCTCTCTACAAGGCCCCTGCACCCTGGGCCTCCCTCCTCAGCTCACTCTCGCCCCACAGGCCCTCCCCTACTCCCTGCTGGCCCTGGCTGTGGCCATGTACCTGCCAGTTCTGCTGTGGCAGTATGCAGCTGTGCCAGCCCTCAGCTCAGATCTGCTGTTCATCATCAATGAACTGGACAAATCCTATAATCGCTCCATCCGCCTGGTGCAGCACATGTTGAAGATCCAGCAGAAGAGCTCAGACCCCCATGTTTTCTGGGATGAGCTAGAGAAGTGAGTTGTCTCCCACCCCTTTCTGAAGGGTTCAGCTGAGCGTTAACATGGTATCATTGCAGAGTCATCTTTGAACCATTCTCTGTACCATCCTTCTCAGGAATCCAAAGTATTTACATACCATCTCACTAACTCTCCATCATTTCTATACAGGGAGAACAAGGACTCTTCCTCAGTTTACAGATGAACACCCTGAGTCCCAAAGGGGCTAATCTCTCTAATGTACCATTGCCACATACCATTCCCCTGCTCAGAGCCTCCCCCCATGCCTACTAAAAAAGACCCAAATTCTCCCAAGTATTTCTCCAAGGCCCTCTACACACTGTCACCAACCACTTTTTCACACCTCTGACCACCCAGTGACCTCCCGCTCCACCCAGGCAGTCTCCTCCTTTTCTCCTGACTAACCATTCATTCACTTAAGCATTCATGCATCATTTACTGGCATCGCAGGTGCCGTTCTGGGTGCCTCGGATCCACCAGTGTGCGCTGTGTGTGTTGGGGGCGGGGGCGGGGGCGGGGAGGAGACCAAGCTACCCCTACCCTTAGGGGGCTCACGTTCTATTGAGGGGAAAAGGACAACAGGTAAACACAACACATAAGCAAATTATACGGCAGAAGATGAGGGGTATGAAGGGAAGGTAAAGCCAGGTGAGGGGGTCAGGAAAGCTGGGAAGCTGTGGAGTGGGGCAGCTTTAAATAGGGCGGCCAAGGGAGGCCCCATCAAGAGGAGCGCTGAGCTGAGACCTGACACGGTATTCCGTCTCTCGTGTTTGGGCACATAATTTTTCCTCTGAAAAGAGCTCCTCTCTCGTCTATCCTTCTGAAATCTACCTCTCGAAAACCAACTCTTATACTCTCAGTAAAGGTTTCTGAACACTCCGGCCCATGAGTCACCTCTCTCCTAACATCTACAACACCGTGGTGTGTACCCATCAATTTAGTCACAAATCAAGCACAATTTTTATTGCCTATTTGCATATCTCGTCTGCCATCTTCCCCACAGGCCAGACGGTAAGCTTCTTCGGAGCAGAGGCTGGCTTACATGTGCCTGAACACCACAGCTCCCAACCAATGCCTATTATTTATTAGGCATATTTGTTTTTTAGCATATTAATTTTTTATAAAATGGAGTGGCCTACAAATCATACACAGAGTATAAAGACCGAGAACCAGAATGTGGTTATCTAGACTTCCCAATTCAGTGCTAATTTAATAAACCTATTGCTTCCAAAGGATTCTGTTTTAGCTTCAAGGTTTAGTCTGCTTTGCTGGGCAGAAAGCCAGTGTGACCATTTGTTATTCACTGGTCATTCACTGGGTTGACCACCTTGCACTCAACAGTTGCAGAATTAAGTATACTCACACACCTCTTTAGGGAGAGGAGTGGTTATGCTCAGGGAAGACAGATTTTCGTGTGAGCCAAGAACGCCACGTCAGATGCACAAATTCCATTACTTTCCCCACGTGGCTCTCTCCAGATGTGGTTCTAAATGGGTCTCTCCTAACCCTGCCTCCTTTCTTCCCCTGCCCAGGGCTCGGAAGGAACGATACTTTGAATTCCCCTTGCTAGAGCGGTACCTGGCATGTAAGCAGCGCTCACATTCCCTAGTGGCTACCTACCTCCTGAGGAACTCCCTCTTGCTCCTCTTCACCTCAGCTGTCTACCTGTACCTTGGCCACTTCCACCTGGATGTCTTCTTCCAAGAGGAATTCAGCTGCTCCGTCAAGTCAGGGCTGCTACGTGATGAGACCCACATGCCCCAACTGATCACATGCAGGCTGACCTCTCTGTCAGTTCTGCAAATTGTTAGTCTCTCCAGTATAACAATATACACCCTCTTGGTGCCAGTGATAATATACAACCTCACCCGACTATGTCGGTGGGACAAACGACTCCTATCCATCTACGAGATGCTCCCCGCTTTTGATCTTCTCAGCAGAAAGATGCTGGGATGCCCCATCAATGACCTCAACGTGATCCTTCTTTTCCTCCGAGCCAATATCTCTGAGCTCATCTCTTTCAGCTGGTTGAGCGTCTTATGTGTTTTGAAGGACACGACCACCCAGAAGCAAAACATTGACACAGTGGTCGATTTCATGACATTGTTGGCTGGCTTAGAACCCTCAAAACCTAAACATCTCACCTACCAAGTACGTGATGAAAACCCATAGTTAAGAAACCACTGAGCAAGAAATTTTATGGAAAGTAAAAAAAATCTCTCCTCTTCTTCACAAGCCTCACACACTAATGTACAAAAATATCCACTTTAGAAAAGCTGTGTGGATTCAGCTGAATCATACATCCTGGATTATGTTTTGCTAAAGGTGAGAAGATAAAATCAACGCATGAAAACAACTCTGAAAGTTAGAGCTGAAGAGTCAAAGAACTAAAAAATTAGGTCTAGAGCATTCTTTGAAGATAGAAAAGCAAAACTAAAACTAAACTAAAAGTCTAGATATTCTTCATGGAAAGAAAGTTCTAAAGGCTACGTATGGAGGCAGGTTCTCCTCGGTATATTTACTCCATGGCCCTTATAGGGCTATATAAGGCCCTATATAGGCCCTTATATAGGCCCTTATAGAATCACACTCAGCTTAACCCAAATGGCATGTGGGGCAATCTGCCAAGTGAATAAAAATGTGAAATCCCCAGAGATCCTGTGGTGTGGCCTAAATCCTAAGAACTTGCCAGCTTGCTTTGTGGAAGTCATTGACCTTGCCTAGACCCTGTGTGGCCTGCAGAGTAGGCCAGAAGATAACGATGCAGGGACTGGTTATCTGTTCTTGGGGGTTAGGAGAGCATAGGACAAGGACAAGGCCATGCGTCAGCTGTGGGTGGAGCTAAGGTGGTTTTCATCATCTAAACCAGGGACCCACTTCGCCAAGGGCTGGTATTATGGGTTGTAGACTCTTTCACAACTCCTAATGGGCCCAGGTGTGCTTCTAATACTCCAGGGGATGCTATACCCCTTCCACTTACAGCTGTTGAGCCCCTGCCCTCTCTTCTCTGTCTCATTACCCAATCTTAGCTTCTAATTTCCATCCATGTGTCTGGACCTAATGGAACCTCGATCTGACTTCAATAGCCCTGCTCAGCCCACAATACCATGTTGCCTCTCATTTGATATTTCTTGTTAGGGTCACATACTTCTTCAGAGAATTTTTGTATAGGCCATTTATAGCCTTCCTTATATAGGTAAGTAGAAATATTGCATTGCTCCCATACTTCTCATGATGCTGAGCCTTTGAATATGCTGTCTCGGCTGCCCAAGATGCCCTCCTCCGTTCTTCACTGGCCGGCCACTAGCTCTCCTTCAGAGTCTGCCCAGCCATATTTTCTTCAAGAAGGCTTCCCTGTCTCCTCCCCTGTTCTCTAATTATGTGCTGCCATATCATTCAATACCTACCTCTGAGATAAAAGTTATTACACTTTATTAATACCATCCATTTATGTGCCTATCTTATCCCCTTTAATCAGTTTCCTAAAAGTTGCATCATAGTGGGCACTAAATTAACATTCTTCTGAATAATGACTGAACCTTGCTTGACAATGTTACATTGTTTAGAGCACAGGGACCCAGCCCCTAAGTAATCTTGTGTAAGAAAAGCTTTGTGCACAAACATGCACTTCACAACAATTGACGACCAAAAAGCCAAACAACATGGAAGGAATCGTGTAAAATTATGCCATTATTGGAATATTAAGCATCTGTTGGAAATTATGCTTATAAAGCAGTCATAACACCACAAAATGACAATATAATGGTATAATAATGGTAAGTGAACAAATATATACATAACATATATATAACAAATAACATAATGATGGTAAGTGAACAAAAAGGAAACATTGGGGATGCCCGCGTGGCTGAATGGTTGAGTGTGTGCCTTTGGCTCACGTTGTGATCCCGGGGTCCTGGGATCGAGTCCCACATCCGGCTCCCTGAACGGAGCCTGCTTCTCCCTCTGCCTGTGTCTCTGCCTTCCTCTCGGTGTGTCTCACAAATAAATAAATAAAATCTTTTTTAAAAAGGCAACACTGTATTATCTAAAATACATAAAAATGCATGAAAGTATTAAATACACATAGTCCCACATCAAAAGTTGCAACATTATGGATTTTTAAAATCCTTCTTCCTACTGTATTTTTTAAATGTCTAAAACTTGTACACATTTCACAAATTGAAAGGAAAGGTTTCTAATGAAGAAAAAAATAATATCTTAATGCAAATTCCACTGAAATCCATTGGCCAGAGCAGCTTGAAAACTAAAGCAGCGGTCATGCTTTCCCTCCCACAAGGTAGGATATGGGTATATGAAGGGGAATGGTGAAAATAAAGTCAGATCACAAAGCCTGCAAGGACAAAATACAGCTGGACAGCAAACAAATCATGCAATTGGCAAATAGATGGGGGGGGGGGGGACGACAATCTCTTCCTATCACTCAATTTATCTTTTCTCAGGTTCCAAGAACCAGTCTATACTAGCAAAGATAGGATTGTGTACGTTTTGTAGGCTTACATATGCCTGGCGTTTCCAAAAATAATTCTCTTATGGCTGCCTCGAGTATGTTTGTGAAAACACTGGCTCCCCGAGGAGTTGCTCTATTAAGACCCCGCTAAGTCCAACAGGGGCAGCTTTCAATACGGAGGGACAAAAAAGAACTTTCATAAGGCTTCTCTGTGTTAAAACCACTTGGTCAGACCCTGTCATTATTTTTACAGTTATGAGAAATGAAATACCTGGATTACCCATTCAAAACCTCTTTTTGTTTTTGGACTCTGACTTTAAGTTACTTATACCCATTAGCATTACATTCCCCCCCCCCCAACCCACCCCTGTAATCCGTGGATTTAACTATGTCCATATTTCCCTTTAACTTCACATACAACTCTAGAGGTCTACATCTTGAACCCATAACCGAAATCCTATTTTACAACAGTCAGAACACCTCACAGCGCACAACCCTCATGGGCTCCCATTATTCCGAGCAGTACAGAGCGTTAAACGGGAAAACCCGCGAGGCGCAGGCGCTTTCAGCTCCTCGGCGGCATCGCTGGAATAAGCACGACTACAAGCCTCTTTGCCTTGCAGAGCTGAGCCTTTACCGATCAATAGATCAATACTGCGTCCCATACGATTGTCTACACCCCTTATGTGATGATTTTGGATACACCTTCGCTATCAAGTTAGCCCTAAATAAACACAGGTTATAGGTGCAGAAACCTATTTTCGGTTTCGTCAGGGAAACATCCAGAGTGCCTACACTTGGTGCTCGTGTTCTTAAAACTGCACGTTTAGCAGGACACGGGGGGCGGGGCTCAGCGGTGGAGCACGTGACCCTGGGGGCGTGACCTGGGGTCGCGGGATCGAGTCCCACTTCCGGCTCCCCGCGTGGAGCCTGCCTCTCCCTGTTTCTCATGAATAAATAAAATCTTGTAAAAAGCAACTGCGTGGTTAGATCTTGTCTTTCCTATTAGCGTCTGACCTGAAGGAACAGAAGCCTTTTTTTTTTTTCCATTCTGGTAAAACCACGGCCTAATCGGCTCTCAGGAAACCTTTCAGGAGCGGACTGCACCAGGAAGCCCCGCGGTCCGGGTGTGCCCTTGCGGGGACGGAGCGCGTGACAGGCCCGCGCCGGGGAGACCGCGGGGTTCGCGGCGCCCCCGCCACACCCACACCCGGGCCGGGAACGCACAGAGCCGCCCCGCCGCCGAGACGTCCGCAGCCGCGACCAACCCAGACTCGCCGCCCCGGAAGTTATCCGCGGCGCCCTTACATCACTTCCGGGCAGGGCTCACTTCCTCCCCGACGCGGAAGTGCGGGGAGGCTCCGGGGCCGAGGGCGGCGGACGGAGTTTTGGTGCCGCTGTCCGCCTCGGGAACGTTCTGGAAGGCTAGATCCCTGGAAGGCCGGGTCCCGGCAGCCCCGACGAGACGAAGCTGGCGCTCCTCGGCCTGGGAGCCGATGCCGGCCGCGCCCGGGAGGCCCCGTAGCGGGGCCGGACCATGAGCCTGCTGGGCGGCCCGGCCTCCTCGCCGCGCGCCCCGCTGCCGTCCAGCAAGGCCAGGATGAAAAAGCTCCCGAAGAAGAGCCAGAACGAGAAGTACCGGCTCAAGTACCTGCGGCTGCGCAAAGCGGCCAAAGCCACCGTGTTTGTGAGTCTGACCGCCGCTCGGCGCTTGTCCGCCTCGACACTCCTCTCCCTCGCGACGCGTCTCGGCACGGCGCTCCCCGGGCGGGGCGGCGGGCACCGCGGGGTCGGCTTGCGCACACCCGCTCTCCCCGCCCGCCGGGCGTCCCCGGACGCCTTAGGTCATTTCCGAGCCCGCTGCCTGCCTTTCGGAGTTGGTGAAGATTGACGTGAGGAAGGTGGAGCGCTCGGCACCCCGAGGACGTGCCGGGGACTTGGCGGTCCTTGCCCCTCTGACCGCAACACTCTGGGAAAGGCGTTGGATTCTCAAGAGGACCCTAGAGGGAGGCACTGAAACCCAAAGAGATGATTTGCCCCGGTCACTGGCCCCGGTTTCTCTACCACCTCCACTACAGAGCTTATTCCCAGGCACCCTGAATACACACAACTGACCCCTGCCCCAAGCAGGCCCGGGAAGCTTTCCAGTCATGTACCCCCACCGCACCCCACCCCCGCCACCTTTTAATACCTTGAGTCTCTCTAGTGTCTCTGCTTGTTCTTCTGTTGTAGAGGCACTGAGTTTACCGACCGACCGAGCGAGCTGGCCTGCAGGCCCCGGTCCGTGTTACGGTTTATCCCGGCTCGCCCAGGCCTGCCTCCGGGCTGGGAAGTCGGGAACCGAGTCCTCCCTCAGTCGCGCCTCCCACGTCTGAATCCCCCACCTTACCCTCTCCTCTCCACCAAGAGCTTCAACATTCTCGCAGCTTTTTTGGGGGAAGCCTAAGGGAAGGTTTGGAAATCAAAACATTCTTTCCGGAAGCAGTCATTTAGCACTTGCTGTGCGCTCTGGAGAGAAATGAAGGAAGTAGAATGAAGAGGACTTGGTACTTCATTGGCCATTCCCTTTCTTTTAAGCCCTCCCTACAAGTCAGCGGTACCTAAGGTCTAGGTTGCCAGAAGGAGGTTGGTTCCATCCAGTACTCGAAGCAGGCTTTGTGGAGAGAAGGGGGTGCCGCTTTGAACATTCAGAGTGCGAGGTCTCCCCTGGGGAACATCCAGAGGAGAGTGTGTCCTTTACAGCTCATGCTTGGCAAACAGATTGCATCAGAAAGACAGATGATTCTTGAGTACCCATGAGTAGATTACAAAGTTTAAGAATATTGCATATTACAGTTGATTTTGTTCTGCCCAGCTCTACTCTTCAAGGTTCATGTAGCGTGAGATGCTTTGGGTTACATTGGTTTTGTGAGCTCCCCAAGAGTCAAGGCGCTTGGGAATGGACATTTCTCATATTTGGAAGGATTGAGCTCCCCAAGAGTCAAGGCGCTTGGGAATGGACATTTCTCATATTTGGAAGGATTAAACTTAAGCAGTATGCCCTTTTCTCTGCCAAAGGCTACCCTAATTAGGGTGATCATATGTCTTGGTTTGCCTAGGGCAACCCTGGTTCTACTACACTGTACTGGCAAAATAATTACCAGCATCCCCTTTTCATTCAGACATGTCCCAGTTTTAGTAAGTTATATAATTACCCTGCCCATAGTGGAACTTGACTCTACCTTTACCTGTACATGTTTTTAAAAGTTTGTCTGCAAGGTAGAGTAGCTCACCCAGCAATATAGAATATTTTGGTTTGAATTATAGCTCCTCTTGGCGTGCCTGGGTGGCTCAATTGGTTAAGCATCCGACTCTTGAGCTCAAGGTGGTGAGATTGAGCTCAGTGTTGGACTCCTTACTGGGGATGGAGCCTGCTTAGGATTCTCTGCTCTTTCCCTCTCTCGCAGCCCCTTCCCCCCCCCCCCGCCCAGCTCGTTTGAGCTCTCTCAAAAAAAAAAAAAAAAAAAGAAAAGAAATACAGCTCCTCTTCCTAGCATAATACTTTGATCTTTTATTCTTTTTATGTGATTTTATGCAAAAATTTTTCTTAAAGGAAAATGCTGCTATTTGTGATGAAATTGCTCGTCTTGAGGAAAAATTTCTTAAAGCAAAAGAAGAAAGACGGTGAGCTGCCTTCATTTTGTGTTCAAAATCACGTTTTCAGTGATTGATACAGTGTTACTGTTTTGGAAATTTTTTCCAGTAGAATTTTTGTGCATTATACGACCCCTTGGCTACTGATCAAGTACAGAGAAACTCACAACCGCTGGTACTGGTTCCCATTTACCCAAGTCATGTTGGACCCTGGGGATGAGACAGCTCCTCTGTTCATCTTTCTGACAGGACCCTCTTGCCATATCTAATAAGCTATCTTCTTATAACTCTTCAATTATAAAAGAGAAGGGATAAAAGAAACTGCCTCTCATTCCATAAATACTCAGTATGTACTACTCTATGCAGACCACAGTCTGCATATAAAATATATACATAAGCAGGTCATGGTATGTGCCTTTTGGAAGCATAACACCTTTCAACATCCAGGTAGAGGAACACTCTAGATGCAAGAGAGATAAGCTACAGTCCTCTGTATGGCTCCTTGACATATTGTCCTCTGGAGCTTCATTATTCCCTGGGTCCAAGAAGAACTTTATTTTTATGAGTGTGATAATCTTTGTGTATAATTCTGGCTTTTCCAGCACTTGAGTAAAATATTGAACTGATATCAAACAGAAATTCATTCCTCTGCTCCTTCTCCTTCCCAACCTCAGGTATTTGCTAAAGAAGCTCCTCCAGCTTCAGGCTCTAACTGAAGGGGAAGTACAGGCTGCAGCTCCTTCCCACAGCTCCAGTTTGCCCCTGACTTATGGTGTGGCCAGCACTGTGGGAACTATACAGGGAACTGGGTCCATTTCTGGGCCCAGCACTGGGGCTGAGGAACCATTTGGGAAGAAATCCAAGAAGGAGAAAAAAGAAAAAGGCAAAGAGAACAACAAACTGGAAGGTACCTTGGGGGAGAGGATATCAGTTGCCCCAGTGGCCCAATGACTGTTGGCAAAGAACTGGTACTAACATGACCACAGATATACTCAAACTCTCATCTGGTCCTTAAGCAGCTCTCCTAGCCCTCAGAAAGCAAGTATATCAGAGCTACTTTGGGTGAAGGAATTCTAGACAGACCTGGCTAAAATGAAGAGGGCAGGCTAAGGGCCTCCCCCCTGCTCCCACACTTCCAGGTCTCTGGGATGCCTTCAGTTCAGTCTTCCCTAGAGGCAGGGAAATGGGCTAGGTGGCCTCTTGAGCACACGGATGGCTTGGGAAATTTCTGATCTGTTAAATAAAGTAAGAGGCCTTAAAAAGTGCAAGCCTTTTAGGTCCTCAGCACTAATGTTAAAATTAGCCACTGCCAGGTGGGTGGGTTAGAAAGATACTCTGGGCTTTTGGGGAAAAGCCCCCTGTGCCCATTCAGGGAGTATATAGAACCAGGATTGGCTTATGGCTCTTAGCATTCACGTGTCAATTTTTCCCTTCCCCTGAGCATTGGGAGGGACCTAAAGTGGGTGACCCCAGATTTGCGTTTCAGTTCTGAAGAAAACATCCAAGAAAAAGAAAATGGAGGGAGGTGCTCGCAAGCTGGTTCAGCCCATTGCCCTGGATCCCTCGGGACGGCCTGTGTTCCCCATCGGACTGGGGGGTCTAACAGTATATAGCCTGGGGGAGGTGAGTGAGACCAGCGATACATAGAGAGGAGAATCAGAAATACGGGAATGGGGTTGAGCCTTCCCTCCCCATTCCCATTAGCCGGAGTCCCTTGCTGATCCAGACCAATCCCAGAAAACCTCCAGTCCCTAGGAAACCAGGTCAGTTTTGTCTACTGCCCAGCCTACACACTTTCTCTCTCTGATTCAAGTCATTCTTTGCAACCCCAAAATGGTCTCAAGGGCTACTACACACAGTACACTGGACTTCTGAATTCTCCAGCGACCTTAGTCGCAGATTTGGGGAATCTCTCTTCTAGATCATCACCGACCGACCTGGCTTCCATGATGAGAGCGCCATCTACCCTGTGGGCTACTGCAGTACTCGAATATATGCCAGCGTGAAGTGCCCAGACCAAAAGTGTCTGTATACCTGTCAGATCAAGGATGGTGGCATGCAGCCTCAGGTACCCACTCTCCTTATGACCACTGTTTTTCTTTTCTTTGTTTTTTTGGGTTTTTTTGTTTTTTTTTTTTTTTTTGAGAACCTTCTCTGTGACAGCCACTTATAGGTATTACCTGTTTTGACACTTAAGCACATACCGTACAGTCACCATTTGAGTAACCCCAAGATGCAGAAAAGCAATTAGCTCTAAATCAGACATTTGCTAATAAGTGCTTGAGCTGGTATTCGGATCTATATCTGTCTGGCTCTCATAGTGACGACCTTTCCTTTGAACCCTGCTGCTTGTACTGTTGCTATGGTAACTGTGTGAGGCTAAACAAGCCTATATACAGGAAAGACTAATTTGATACTCTGCCATTTCAGAGGACCAGGATGGGGGTAGCAAAGATGGGGGTGTACCTATTGGTTTCTGGTTGAACACGCTCTTAAGGACCTGGAAGATGTGAACCTTAGTTTTGTTAAATACCTTTGTTCATCCTTCCCACTGCTACCAATTCAAGGCAGCTCATTTTCCCCACCCATCACCTCTGATCATTAGGAAAAAAATAGACCATTTTCGAAGCTCCAGGCTTCAATGTCTGATGTTACAGATCACCAGAAAGTTGGGTGGAAGGAAGTAAAGGCAAGGAGGGGAACCTTTGAGCAGAAGCTGAGAGTCAGCCTGATGCATGTGGATAATACTGCAGCGCGCCTCTCCTGGTTAGAGCGTTGTTAGATGCAGGTGACTGTTTAGATGACCTGGCCACTGCAGGAGTTCTGTTTAGAAAGTGTTCTAACTACAGAGAAAGAATCCTTGTAGCAATAGCCCATGTTTATAACAAATTTATAAATTCACTGCAAATGTAATCAAAATTCTAATAAGATTGTAATGGATAATGACAAGCTGATTCTTAATTTCCTCAAAGACAAACTGCTGAAATATTTCTGAAAAGTTTGTGGGATTTTAAGTTTCCCCCCCCTTTTATTTTTAAAGCTTATTAACCTCTCTAGACATTATTTTCAGGTACATCATGAAATTTAGTTCTTTTTCCAACTAACATGAAGTAATCTCTAGTGTGCATATAATGCATATAATATTTCAGTATGCTTCCAGATGATTCTTTTTCATCTCTATAAATGCTAACAGGACTTTTAATTACTTTAGCTTTATAGAATGTTTCATACTATATGTTAACAGAAATATAGAAAAATATGGGATCCCTGGGTGGCGCAGTGGTTTAGCGCCTGCCTTTGACCCAGGGCGCGATCCTGGAGACCCGGGATCGAATCCCACGTCGGGCTCCCAGTGCATGGAGCCTGCTTCTCCCTCTTCCTATGTCTCTGCCTCTCTCTCTCTCTCTGTGACTATCATAAATAAATAAAAATTAAAAAAAAAAAAAAGAAATATAGAAAAATATTTTTATAATTTTAAAGTGAGGTGAAAGCTTTTCTTTAGTAGGGCATGAAATGTAGACGTCATAAAGGAAAATAGTAACATATTTGACCATAAAAAATATGAATGACAAAAGACCTGATAAATTAAAACTCAAGCAAAAAAACAGGAAGAAAATATATAACTGTGGATTAATATCCAGATAAAGTGTTCCTCTGGTAAAATGCAAAAAAACAATCAGAACAGGTATTTCATAGAAACAGTGCCAGATGGTTTGTAAGAACAGACCTCATTAACAATTAGGGAAATATAAATAAAAAGGCCCTATTTGGGGACGCCTGGGTGGCTTAGCAGTTGAGCCTCTGCCTTTGGCTCAGGGTGTGATCCCAGAGTCCTGCGATTGAGTCCCACATCAGGCTCTTTGTTTGCATGAGGCCTGCTTCTCCCTCTGCCTATGTCTCTGCCTCTCTCTCTGTGTCTCTCATGAGTAAATAAATTCTTTTTTTTTTTAAAGGTTCTATTTTTCTCCTAGGCAAACAAGAGAGAGATCCGTAATATTTAGTGTTGGCCAGGATATAGGAAAACAAGTATGCATTAGTACAAGTGAAAATTTTCAGTCTTTTGGAAGGCAAGTGGGCAGTACTGACAAATTTAATATGTGTGTCCTTTGACCCAGGATACTGCTAAGTATTCAAGTATTTCCTAGAGAAATGTGCAAATGCTAGTAAAAGAGTTAATATATAAGTTATATTACTTAACTATACATAATGGCATGTATGCAATGGCAAGAAAATAGGAATAGCTGAAATATGCATCAGTAGGAGAATAGATAAAAATTAAGATTTATCCACCTCGTGTATATTATGTAGCAGTTAAAAGAATGAAGTAGAGTTATACATACAAACAGGGAAAGCTCTCCAAGACCAAAATAGTAGATTGTGGCCTTTTATTTGCTCTTTGTGCAAAATAGTATAGTGCATACAGTATAAAAGATTGGCATCAAAGTGACCAATACCAAACAAGAGAGCAGCCCTGGAATAACCAAAGAAAACTGTCTGTGTTTTTTTCATGCATGGCTGAGAAGTAGACACAAACCATTAAGTGTCTTCAATTTGCAGGGTAGGTCATTGGTTGAAGTAACAAAACTGCTGACTAAAACTCACAAGATAATGATTATTGACAAAACTGAAAGAGCTCTAAGGGGACACCTGGGTGGCTCAGTGGTTGAGTGTCTGCCTTTGGCTCAGGGCATGATCCCGAGGTCCTGGGATCGAGTCCTGCTTCAGGCTCCCCATGGGAGCCTGCTTCTCCCTCTGCCTGTGTCTCTGCCATTCTCTCTTTCTGTGTGTCTCTCATGAATAAATAAATAAAATCTTAGAAAGGAAAGAAAGAGCTCTAAGATTTGACACAGTAAAATTGAAGTGAAAACTGCAGCAAAAACTGCCGCAAAAACCATATTCAGGAGACTAGATTTGGGATTCTAAAAAATGATTAATGCACATGATAGTTTGAAAATATACAGAAAAGAAATTAATTCTGTTTGGAATAATTTGGTTAAAGTAAACATTTTTTAAAAACTAGATACTGTTTTGGTTTTCCTTTGGTTTTTCTTAAGTTTAAATTTCAGTTAACATACAGTGTGATGTTAGTTTCAGGAGTAGAATGTAGTGATTCTTCAGTTCCATGAAGTACCCAGTGCTCCTCACAAGTGCCCCTCTGACTCCCCATCCCCCATCTAGCCCACCCCTTGCCTGCATCCCTCTAGCAGCCCTCTTTGTTCCCTCTAGTTAAGAGTCGGTTCTATGATTTGCCTTTCTTTATTTCACCCTGTGTTCATCTGTTCTGTTTCTTAAATTCCAGGTATGAGTGAAATCACGTTATTTGTCTTTCTCTGACTTATTTCACTTAGTATGGTACATTGTAGCTCTGTCCATGTCATTGCAAATGGCAAGAGTTTATTCTTTTTCTTTATCCATCAGTCTCTGGACATTTAGGCTCTTTCCATAATTTGGCTATTGTAGATAATGCTGCTATAAATATCAGTGTATTTATACCTTTAAATCACTATGTTTTGTATCCTTTGCGTGAATACCTAGTAGTGTAATTGCTGGGTCACAGGGTAGTTCTTTTTTTCTTTTTTTTTTTTTTTTCAAACTTTTTGAAGAAACTCTGTACTTTTTTCTGTTGTTTCCTGTGTTGTTAATTTTAAAAGCTATCCTGACAGGTATAAAGTGATATCTTATTGTAGTTTTTACTTGTATGTCCCTAAATAATGAGTGATATTGAGCATCTTTTCATGTCTGTTAGCCATCTGTATTTTTCTTTGGGAAAATGGATACTGTTTAACCAAACTTTATAGATCACTAGTCAAGGAACTTAATTGGCTAAATAGAACTTGTTACAGAAATATTTTCTTCACAAAAATTCATTAAACTTGTAGAAAACTGGCCAAGGAATTAAGATGGCTAGAAAATATATGTTATAAAAATACTTCCTTGGCAGAAATTCCTCAGTATTAGTATAGTTTTGATTAAAGGGTTTATATATATTTGTGTGTGTGTGTGTATATATATATATATATATATATACATACACACAAAATGGCCTGTGTTCCTCCTAAACATTAGAGTTAGCCTAAGATTACATGATGTTATTTGATCTCATATATTTCTAAAATACCATTTGTGGGGCACCTGGGTGGCTCAGTCAGTTGAGCATCCAACTGTTGATTTCGGCTTAGGTCATGATCTCAGCTCAGGGTCATGAGATGGAGCCCTGAGTCAGGCTCCCCCTCAGCAAGGAGTCTGCTTCTCTTTCTCTCTCTCCTTCTGCCTCTCCCCCCACTGATTCTCTCTCTCTTTAATAAACCTTTAAAAATAAAAAAGTAGGGGGGGCCTGGCTGGCTTAGTCACTTAGTGTTTGCCTTCTGCTCAGGTCATGATCTCAGGTCCTGAGATTGAGCCTCGCATCGGGCTGCATGCTCGTGGGGAGCCTGCTTCTCCCTCTCCCTCTGCCTCCTACTTCCCTGCTTGTGTTCTCTCTCTGTCTGTCAAATAATGTCTTTTTTAAAAAATAAAAAATAAAAATCATTTGTACTTACAGATATAAGTAAGTGGATAGGAAAAGTAGTAACAAATTAAGTGTTCACTTGTGGAGAGCAGTCAAGTAAGGTGTATTGCACCAAAACAATCAAAGGACTTTGTTTTCTTGGACTGAATTTTTAACAGCCCTCTAGGAAATTGTGCCCACCTTCTAGTATCATATACATCAGCTTCAAGATCTAGAGTGAAGTAGTAGTTGTAGGAGTAATAGGTCTTTCTACTATTTCCTCCTTCATGGTTGATCTCATTGCCCTTTGGTCTTTCTCAGTTTGAAATTGTTCCTGAAGATGACCCTCAGAATGCCATTGTCACCTCTTCTGCAGATGCCTGTCATGCAGAACTGCTCAAGACCATAAGTGCTGCTATGTAAGTTGAAACTCGAAGACAGTCTGAATAGATCACTTGTAGAGTGAGACTTTGTTTTAAATGTACGGAAATCCTATATTTATAGAGCGCTCTCCTGTATCCTTTAGATTTCTTACCAGAAATCCTTTGGATTTCTCCAGAGTATCCAAGTCAAGAAAGTTTGTTCTCTGCACTCATACCCACATTCCATTCCTGAACCTTTCTCATCTCCCTCTAAACTTGTAAACTACAAATCCTCCCTCTCCTTTTTAGGGGAAAACTAATGCCCAACCTGCTTCCATCTGGAGCTGACTTTTTTGGGTTTTCTCATCCAACTATTCACAACTTGATCCAGAGTTGTCCAGGAGCTCGAAAATGCATCAAGTAAGTTTGGTCAAATCCATTCCCTTGAGAGAAGTCCTGTGATGAGTGGGTCAGGGACCTAAGCTGACAGTTACTGCATTGCTTATTCTTACACTTACTGAGCTGCTTCTATGTGCAAAGCATGCTTGCTCCCAGCCGGCGCACCTCAGTATTAGTCCCCTTGGCCTCAAGTGAGCAGGAGCCAGTACCCCACTGTACTAGAATTACCATTTTCTGTGAGTACCATGAGAGCAGAAGGGTTGGGATGTCCTGCAGAATGACATGTCCCTAAAGGCACCTGTCTTCTCTTAGTTTCTTTGTTAATATGATTTTTAGATATATCTATGGGAGGAAATACCTGATCTGGAAGTAAGAACAGGTCGTTACAACTAACAGACAGCTCTTGATAACGATACCCTTTGATCTCGCAGTTACCAGTGGGTGAAATTTGATGTGTGGAGACCTGGAGATGGGCCGCCGCCCCAAGGACTGCCAGAGGATGATCCAACTATAAGCTTTGAAGCCTTTCACAGACAGGCATTTGGTGAAGATCATGTTGGTCCCATCCTGCAAGGTAGCTTCATTTTACCTTTCCGGCTTGAAAATTGTTTTTTAGGCCGCCCCCTGCTCTCCAGAGTTGAGTAATCCAGATAGCTGGCCAGTAAGTGATAGAAACTTCCACCGCCCCAACGGCAGAGTCCCAGGCTCAAGGATGGGCTGCCCCACCAAGCTCTCCGGCAGTGCTGGCGGCAGTCACAGCGAGCAGCTGCCATCAGGCTAAGGCAGGGCCCCCGGAGAAGTTCAGCTTTCTCATTTTCTAACCTAAATACGACCACACGGAGCTCCAGGGGAGCGTTCACGGTGCAGGACTAAAATTTCAAATGAAGTGAAGGGGACCAGGTCATGGCCTTGGTCCCACCTATGGTCAGTGGATTCCCGGCCACAGAAGTGTGGAATGATCAGGGAGTCTGGCACTGAGTCATAAAGGGAGAGCCCTGGACTGGAAATAATAGAATTAAAATTCTCACTCTCTAACATATAACCCTAGCCAAGTCACTTACTCTGTTTTGGCCACGATTTTCTTACAAAGTTCTGTCCTGTCTTATCAGACGAGGGCAAAATTCAGCTGGCAGATTTGTAAGGGTCTTAGGAATTGTAAGGACGTACTACATGCGTCTGATCAGTCCCCTGAGATTCCCAGGCAGCAGTGGAACTGAAGGAATGTTCTTCTCCAGGATCCTTGGACCTTCCAGAGCTTCAGCCCACACCCTTCGTGTCCTCTTACCAGCCCATGTTCCTGGCGCACGAACCCCTGGCGGACACTCACCTACAGCACCTGAACTCTCTGTCACAGTGTAGCCCAACGCAGTCTTCAGACTGACCAGGAAGGGGTCACTTCCCACATCATTTAACTTAAGACTCCAAATGTGGAAGAAGACAGCAGTTCGGGAGTGAAGGAGACAATTAACACATTGTCGTGGACATTCCTGTGCCGACAGTATTCCCCGGGAAAAACTGCAGCTGCTTTATTTTTAGCAATAAATTTCTCTTTACAAATCTGCTTATTTTCATCTTCTTATAATCGGGATCTTTTTTTTTTTTCTTAGCTCTGCCTGAGGTAGAGTAAACTTAAGTGTTCTATAAGCCAGAGTGCGAGAGGGCTGCGGACTCAGAAGGGAGAGGCGGGAGTCTAACAGCCCTCCACCCGGATTCTGACCCTAGCTCCAGGAACGACGTCCCAGCCCCTGCCACCCAAGCACCTGCTTTTTTTTCACGTCTGTACGATCCCAGTCCAGTGCTGCTTATCCCCAAGCTGGAGAGGCCCGGCCAAGGCACACCGTTTATCTTTATCATCACACGTCATCCTTCAAGGGAATCAGAAAGTCCTCTGTAATCCTGTCTATCCCCTTTGCCATTCCTTATCTGAGAACATGCTTGTAGCCGAATACCTTGAGTCCACATAATACCAGATCCAGCGTGATGGGGGGGCGGCTCCCATCCTGCAGGGCAGACTCGCCTGGTCACTTCACTAGCCGGGCAGTAATGTGACTGGTGTTCGATGCAACCGAATGTGCTGGCCCTGCTTAGGGCACTGAGGGAGAGGCTTACTACCTCGCCCGACCCGGACCACTGGCAGTACCACGTGGGCTGCCCTCACTGTCTGTCCTACCAGGTACCAGGGCCAGATGGAAGGAAGCAATGGAAGGGATCCCCCCAGAGGGGGAAGAACGGGGAAAGTGTGGTGACAGTTGTCACTGCGCTGCATTTCCTAACTGCTGACTGGGGACAACAAGGGGGTTCTTGTTTCCTAGGAGTAGGTGCATCAGCGGAGGGAGGGGGCAGACAGCCACATTGGCCACGGAAATACCAGAAACGAAAGTAACTGCTATTAACTTTCTGACTCTTAACTATAGACTTTTTATAAGTTTGTGTAGCTTTTACAGTACAAAAAGCATATAAAATTTGGATAACGGCAAACCTGGGGTATAAAAGGGATTACTCAAAGCTGTTAATGCTTCCATGTTTTCCTTTGTTTGCTGTGTATGTTGGCTAGACATGTGCACTTCCACAGAATGGATACCTGCTGCTTTTACCATACAGCAGATATACTGTATTACATACAGTCTGAGTAAAACACATAAAGGTGAGCCTCCTTTTTAAGAAAGACATTTTAAAAAATTTTAAATAAGTTATTGTGCTTTTTGGCTTGATTAAGAGTATTTACTTTGTAGCTTTCCTAGAAGAGTGGTTTTCAAACTAGAGATCCCAACCCATTGGTTTTTCCTAAACAGGGAGTCAAGACCTCTATTTTTTCAATTAAATAAAACACTTAGAACTTAGTAGAATGCATCACATGCCAAAATGTTGAAACTTGGATTTCGACTACTGTGTGTGTGTATGTGTATTTATATAAAAAAAAAATCACATGCATCCATATGAAGGGGGTACATGGAATAAATGTAAAACGTTTTTACTACGGGTCATTTTAAAAAACTTGAACCCTCCCCCCAGTATACTTAACACATCTTTTCATCTCTTGGATTGTTAAAGATTCAGATCTGACAATATCCAGTGTCAGTGGGATTGAGACTAAATGGCACCATAGCTTAGTGGGTCTGTAAACCATTGGACCCTTCAGGAGAGTTAAGCTGCAGTTATCAAAATGTTAAACATATTTATCCTTAAAACTGTTACTCCACATTAAGGATCCTGAGGAGGTAAGCGCACTATGATGTTTGCCTGTAACATTCATCACAGTATTCATTTTAGCAGGGAAAAATTGGAAAAAAATCTCTATGTCAACTAATGGAAAATTGGTTAAAGTATGGGGCTCCTGCAAACTGAAACACTTAATCTAACTGAATAATATTCAGTTTACATAGGAAAATTATTTTGCTTGAGTAAGTCAAAAACCAATTATAAAATGATACAACGTGTAGTGTGTAAATATAACCCAAGCAAATCAAGTGAATGTTTACCAAAATATTAAATGTTTTTTGCCAAATGGTGAATTTTGGGGTGATTTTTACTTGTTTATACTTTGTTAGTGTCCAAATCTACAATAATTGTAAATCTCATTTTTTAAATGCTAAAAAGTTAAATTATTCAGCCATTAAAAATGAAGTTTCACATGACTTTTAGTTTACTACCTAAAGCTAATTTTTCCCCTTGTTGCACAGGTTACTGGGGGTGAAAGGAGCCTGGGCATCAGGTTCCTGACCATGCCGAGCCTCCTGCAAATTAGAACAGCCCATGTGTGCGTGTGTGTCAGCAGAGAGGAGGGTAGATTTACTTTTTCTCAGAAGTCTGTTCCTAGGTTCATGGTTCCCCTCAGGTCACATGCATATGAGGTCAAAGAATGGGTGTTGGGAGTTAGTTGTACACTAGGAAGTCCTCAGAGGAGCCAAAGTTCCTTGCACACTGTGTATTTGTGCTGGTGTTTTACTAGATAAATCCTGGCACTGACAGAGCTGGTCCTGATCCTCAGAGCTACACTTGGGCCCTTTGGGGTCAGGTGCGTGCTTATTGCTTTCGTTCTTTTCCCCCATTAAGGGAGTGGAAGCTACTCCGGCTTCAAAGAACAATTTACAAACCTGTTCCTAACCCAGTTTTGATGGGCCATAAATGTATACATGCCACTAATGATGATACTTTTATTTCCAAATTCCAATAGATGACACAAATATCAGGTGCAGTTAGCGTTTTTAATCAACCAGTAAACAGCAGTATGATTAACAGTACACACACAGAGCCCACTTTCACATTTGTCCCATCTGGATTATTTTTCTAAATGCTTATCGTGTAGCTTTATTTTCAGCCTCTTTTTTCTTCTATCTGGGTTATCCTTTTTTTTTTTTTTTTAAGATTTTATTTATTCATAGAGACACAGAGAGAGAGAGAGGCAGAGACACAGACACAGGCAGAGGGAGAAGCAGGCTCCATGCAGGGAGCCCGACGTGGGACTCGATCCCAGGTCTCCAGGATCACACCCCGGGCTGCAAGCGGCGCTAAACCGCTAAGCCACCAGGGTTGCCCTGGGTTATCCTTTTTATAGGTAAACCTCTTACCTCAGATTTCTACTGAGCCTAATTGCCCCTCCATGACCTCTGTTTTCACGTTGTCCAGAGCCAGTACGTGCCTCTTTCTCCTGACCCTTTTAGGCAGCCTCTACGCACCTCACCAAATGCCTGTGTGCAGTGCTGGCTGGTTTCAAACACTCAGGTTATTGTTATTTAGACCAAAGGAACAGAACTGTTTTTGGCTGAAGAGAGAACACAAATAAGGCTAGAAAGATTTCGGTTCCACATAAGGAAAAACTTAGGAAGTTTAGAAACTTCATACAGAGATTCAGTAACCACTTGCCAGGTTTCGTAAAGAACACATTAGTATGAGCTGGCCCACGTGGCCTTGAAGTTCCTTCCAACCATGAGTTTCCACAATTCTGGACATAAGGGGGCAACTGTGTGACAGGTCACACTCCCCACAGGGAAGTAAATGACACAGGTTCCATTTGTTTGTAGCTGGGAATTAGTCCAGTAAGACACCTAGGCTGATTAGGGGACAAAAGGCAAGCATCTCGTTTGCCTGCCAGTACTGGCTCATCTCATAATCAGAATACAGAAACAGCCATGTGCTAGCAGGGAGCTGCCCAGTGCTTTTCTGTTAGTTGCCTTTAAAAGCAATAGTCAAAAAAAAAAGAAAAGCAATAGTCATCACTTCAACACCAAAAATCCAAATCTAAAGGACCCACACTTAAGTTCAATATATGATCATATGCCACTAAGTCAATTAGCAAGCTTGCTGTGCTCTCCAGGAGTCTAGTTGGTCATGAAAGCAATGAAGGGAGGCGCTGGCAGGGTGCTGCTGGGATGGTAGATGGGGCACTGCTTATATTCACAAGGCCATGTGGCCCAGGCATAGCGAACAGCAGCCAGAGTGCCACGACAAGAACCAGTACTCAGAGTCAGAGTCTGAGCCGAGAAGGCATCCATGGGAGCCGGGAGCCACTTGCACTGATGATCGCTGCAACATGAGATCTAAAGAGAGAATCATAAAGTCAGGATGTTTAAGTCAGGATAATTCCAAGAGATTGGGAACTGCCCATTAGACTAGAAGGGAGAGAAGGAGCCACTCTTAGTCATGGGTCCATTTCCTACAATAACCAGAACAAACCTGAGTCCAGGTTGGGTTTGGTCAACATAGCCATAGTGTGATGATAAATGTTCATGTGATAAAATAAATTAATAAAACACTGAATTACTGAGGGAGACAAGGAACCATAATCACATAGAGCATTTAGAGAAGGTTCCCCTGAACAACCTTGCTGTGATCCTTCCAACCAGTTGGCAAAGCAGGCAGGACCTGAGCCAGTGGAGCCATCCAGCTGCTGCTACCACCCTGGCACTCCCAAGGGAGCCAGGCAATGAGGAAGGGGCACAAAGGAACCTTGGATAATTCACCTTTCTCCAAACAGAAAGCAATCCAGTGAAGGGGACATAAATTATCCAGTACCCACAGGTTAAATTCTATCCTGCTCCCGACTCTGATTCTAAGTCCAGATGACGGGCAGATGGCCAGCAGCTGACTACAGAGTACGAGCTCAGTATGTAGACTTCTGGGGAGCTGGAATGACCTAAGACTCGGTATCCTAAGCTCAATGGGGTAAGTGCTGCCCAAGCACCTGAGGCCAGCAGATGTTGTAGCTGGGACTCCGGAGGAGGAGCACCCTAGGTAAACTCATGTACAATTAAAGTGTGTCTTCAATATTCATTCATTACTTCCGGTGACCTTTTTTCCTCCCCGCCCCCCGACTCCCCCTGCAGCCTGATGGCCTCATGGTCCCCAGAGACAGTCATCTGCATGTTCCATGAGTAATGCCTCCAGCTGCACCTCAACTTTGGAAGACCCCTACATAAGCTCTGTAATTATTAGCTCTACTTCCACAGTGGAATGACCCTCGCAAGGTACGAGAAGAAAGTAGTTCCATTACATTAATTCACACCGACTTACAAATCCCCAAGCTAAGCCTCTCAAAGAAGACACTAAACTCAGGGATTCCTGGGTGGCGCAGCGGTTTGGCGCCTGCCTTTGGCCCAGGGCGCGATTCTGGAGACCCCGGATCGAATCCCACGTCGGGCTCCCGGTGCATGGAGCCTGCTTCTCCCTCTGCCTGTGTCTCTGCCTCTTTCTCTCTCTCTCTCTCTCTGTGTGACTATCATAAAATAAATAAAAATTAAAAAAAAAAAAGACACTAAACTCAGTCTCAGAATTTGGGAGAGTGTGACATAAAAAAGACATCCAAGGATGAGGGAAATAACCCTGAGTGAGGAATCTTCCAATTGGTAACCTACAAATAAAGCCACAGGCCTTGCCAGAGCAAAGATGAATGCTCTTGGAGCAAAATACAAAAGGAGTATTTTAATGTGGATTCATTTTCCTTTCCTTGACTGTCCTATCAAAATTGCCTCTAAGTGAAATTAATAGCTACTCAGTGAATTAATAGCTACTCAGTCACCCCTCTGGGATAAACTCCGCCCTGCCAAAAGAAACCAAGCTCTGCCCACAGAAATGTTACAATTAAAGAGATGGGCTTCAGTGTGGAGAAAATCCTGACTCCCAACACAGGACGAACCCCTGTTGTTTCAACTATTCTCACCTCAAATATCTTGTCCTGCCTCTGCACCTGGATCTCCTGCGAATACGTGAGGTTGAGCAGCCCCTTGTCGGCCAAGAGTTCCATCTTCTCAGGCAGTGGTCCTTGAAAGATCACCTTCTCCCCATAAGCCACTGCACGGGCCCCCAAGTGCAGCCGGTAGGCCACAGTCTGCTTGTCTCGAGGGTGGATGCTATAGGATAAACAACAGGGAGAGAACTTCAGGTTTGAGCTCAAGGGTAACCATACATTTTTTTTTTTTAAGGATTATACAAAGCACCCTTTAGAAAGGTAAGAATAAAGATGCCTGGGCGGGGGGTAGGGGAGACCCCTGGGTGGCTCAGTCAGTTAAGCATCTGCCTTCAACTCAGGTTATGATCCCAGGTTTCTGGGGTCGAACGCTGCATCAGGCTCCCTGCTCAGCGGGGAGTCTGCTTCTCTCTCCCTGCTTGTGCTCTCTCTTGCTCTCTCAAATAAATAAATAAAATTTAAAAAAAAGAATAAAGTTGACTAAATCTAACAGGGATCAGTGGCTCAACAGCTTAAGAGACATGGGTGAATGATAATAATCATAAATGAGGCTCTGAGCCCCCCATGCGTTACAAACCTTGAAAAAGTAGAGGACTTGGAAGGAAGGAATAAATGTCCCTGAGGGAGGGAGGAAAGGCACCAGAGCAGAACTAACTCGAAGTTATTCTAACCACTGAAATCCTCTGAATCCATTGTTCATTACTTGGTGTCCTCCTGGTTTTATTCATCTAATCAATCAATCTTCTTCGTTCAAAAATAAATACTTGTTAAAGTTTCTACTATAAACCAGACACTAAGTGTTGGGCCCCGTTTCATTTAAAATCCCCTTGTACCCCACAGCTGGCATATGGGAGTCATCGGAGCCACTCACCCGTATCACGTTACTCCCTGTCTGAGTTCACTGAAGCCAGGCACAGCCGCATGGCCTGCTCTGGCCAATGCAATGTGAGCAGAAGTTACCTTAATCACCAGTGTGAGCCTTGAAGGTGACTGGAAGCACAGATCAACTTGGAATTTCCGTCACTCTGGATCTGTGAGCAACTATAATGAGCAAAGCCTCTTTACTGACCTTCTTTGGACATGTGATGTGAACAAGAAATGTTGTTCCATCAAGGCACTGCTATGTTGGGGGGTTTAGTTACTGCAGCACGGGCCGGTATAAATGATTAATAGAGAACACTCCTAAGGTCCAATCCTTAGAGCACTCTGTGCCCCTCACAAGTGAACATCAGAGTGAAGGCCACAGACAAAGAACATATAGTATTGTTCAAGCAAAGCCCAAGAAGCACCCCCATACCTGCCAAAAGGTGACTTCCTATCGCAGAGATCCATTGCTACCGCCATGAAAGTGTTGGGCATCCTCAGGTTGGGGACATAGCCAAAGTCTGCTGTTTGATGCCAACGGATCTGGGGAAATGTATCATCCGAGGGTGCAGACAAATAGGAAGATAACTAGAAAGTAGAGAGTGCTGCATCAGAATCCTATCGTAGAGTCTTCTTCATAAGCAGACCCTGCTTCTGCTTCATTCATTCATTCATTCAAAATGCTCATTCAACAGGTATTTAGTGTGCTTCTTACTGTTGTGGTTGAATGTCCCTCCCCACACACACCACAGTGTGTCTGTGTCGCCCCTCTCGTCAAGAGGTGTAGTCTGTTTCTTTTCCCACTGAATCTGGGCTAAGCCTGTCATGTTCTCCAACCAACAGAATGCGGTGGAAGTGATGTGCAGCTTTTGAGTCATTGCCTGGAGCACCTTTGCCTTCTCTTGGAACCTGAAGATGGCCATGTAAAAAAAAGTCCAGCTACCCTGCTGGAGAAATGACATGGAAGTGTGTGTGGAGGCGGGGGGGGGGAAGGCCTGGGAAATCGGAAGACCCTTAGGAGAGAGACGGGTTAATGTCCCAGCAGGCTTGGCCGAGAGGCCAGTCAGGTGAATGCTCAAGCCTTCAGTTCAACTCGCAGCCACACGAGCAAGCCCGGCTGACATCACACAGAGCAGAGCTGAGCCATCCCAGTTGAGCCCTGCGCAGCCGACCCATAGAATCATGAGCAAATGCAATGGCTCATGTTTTAAGGCCACTAGTTTGGGGGTAGTTTGTTACAAAGCAACAGGTAACTGATACACCTATCTATAACATGTTTGGGTGCTACAGGGAATCTGCCCATGAGCCTGTGGTAGAGTGCATCAAAGACCCCAATTCTTCACACCTTCCTATATCCACACCTTCCTACCATTTGGCTTTGTGGTTTCTCCCATTAAGAGAAAGAGTACATTTCCCCCACCACCCCCTAAGCTAAGCTATGTGGTTTGCTTTGGTCAACAGACTGAAACAGAAGTTACGGTGTGTCAGTTCCTAACCTAGGCCTCAAGAAACCTGTGTGGTTCCCCCGCTCTTTCACATTTCTGCTGTCACCATGAGAATGACACACCTGGGCCAGCCTGCAGCCCTCTGGAGAAGGATGAGAGCTGTGGAACAGAGCTCCCTCGTCTAACCCACTCCAGCCAAGGTTAGGTGAGAGCAGAGCCCCAACCCTACCCCACCCCACCCCTGCCACTGACCCATAGAGATCTGAAAGAGCTCAGTGGAGCTCCCCCAAGATCAACCAGCCCCCAGCTACCCACACGAGAGCCATAATAAATGTTAGTTTAAGCCATGGAGTTTTGAGGCGATTTGTTACATAGCAGTGGCCACCTGGTACAAGTACTTCACAGCTCCGTTGGGGGGACAGCCCTGACCATAAGAAATGTTAATAATCAATAGTATAAAATAGCATGGATTAAATGCTGTATCAGAGGCACAGACAGCAAGTACTCTGCAGTAGAACAAAGTTTATTATTATAATACAACATGGTCTCGGAATGTGTAAGAAGAAAAATGGCTGGGCCCAGAAAATATGAGCAATCACTACAAACAGGACATATTAGAACCTTATAATATGCAAAGGTAGGAAGGAGAAAGGTAATTTTGAGAGAGAAATCAGAAATGGAACTGAACTGAAGGGTTTATGTAGGAAAAACAATGTTGCAAAGACAGTGAGGCAAGTATCTGGATAGTTTATACTTTACCCATAAGCTACAGAGGTGATGGTTGCAGAACATGGTGAATGTACTAATTAATGCCCTTGAACTGAACACTCTAAAATGATTAATTAAATTATTATGTGAATTTCACCCTCAATGTAGAGAGCCACTGAAATTATTGACATGATAAAAGGACTATTTCAAAGGATTACCCTAGTGATTGTGCAAATGATTCTGTGTAGAAAAGAGCCGAAAAGCAGAGAGAGTGATGGTTCAAAAACTACCAGAACATTCTAGACACATAAGAGAAAAGCCTGCCCTAAGACAGCAGCAGGAAAGGGATGTGCAGGAATAAGACAACTTCAAAGACAAATGACAGAAGCAGGCAACCACCCGGATAGGGGATGGGACACAGAGAAAGGACGGTATCCATCACTGCGAAGCTGGACATCTGATCTCTGCATGGGATTCCGCAGATGTAGGTAAGGTCTTTTACCAGCTGACTTCAAGCTAACCAAAGGAAGAGTAGGAAGGGAGCCCAACTCAGTCAGGTAAGCCTTTAAAAGAGAGTAGAGAAGTCAGAGACTCTCCTGCTGACCTTCAAGAAGCCAGCTGCCATGGGTTCTACAGCTTCAAGGAAACAAATTCTACCAACAGCCACCTGAGCTTGGAAGGTAACCCCTAGGCTTAGCTGAGGCCCCGGCTCTGTCCAATACCTTCTCTGCAGCCCTGAGTGGAGGACTCAGCTAAGCCGTGCACGGCAGGCTCCTCGCTCAATGTGTATCACATTGTTTTAAGCTGCTATATATGCCATAATTTTTTAATGCAGGAATAGAAGACTAATATGCCAGGGATAGAACTTTGCAGGCAGAAGGAAAGGAAAATGGCAGGCCCTAGGACAGAGTATGCCTAGCGTGCTTAAAGACAGTAAGGCAGCCAGAGTAGCTGAAGTGGAACAAGTAATGCAAAGAAAATCAGGAAGTGATGTCAGAGAGGCACTGGTGGCAGGGGCAGACCACATATCGCTTTGTTGACCTCACTCATATGGAGGAACCACTGGAGCCTTTTTTAAAGATTTATTTATTTATTTGAGAGAGAGAGAGAGAGAAAGTGCAGAGGGAGAGAATCCCCAAGCAGACTCCACGCTGAGTGTGGATCCCACCTCGAGGCTCGATCCCACGACCCTGAGATCATGATCTGAGCTAAAACCAAGGGTTGGACACTCAACAGACTGAGCCACCCAGGCACCCCTGGAGCCTTCCGACATGGCTTACATTCAAAGGCTCACTTTAACTGAAATGTTGAGAATATCCTAAAGGGGAAGAAAAGGGAAAAGCAGGAAGACCAGTGAAGAGGCAATAATACTTCAAGGAAGAGGTGATGATGCCTCAGACTGGCACAGGAGCGCTGAAGGCAGTAAGAGGCTGGCTGGCTCTGCAACATCCTGAGTAAACACTTCCATCTAGACTTAAAACTGACAGACTCCTACTCCTGCAAAGGGCAGAGGCTCCCAGGAAAATTCCTTAATATTACTGTGACGCACACGGCCCCACTCTTCCTTCCTTTTTTCTCTGATATTTATATCACCTTGCTCTCTGATTTAGACTGCGCCTTATTCTTAGCCCTAGTCCAGCCAATGAGAGGCATCAACCTGTTATCCTCCTCTCACAAACCAGGATCTAAGAGTAAGTCAGACCACAAGCTGGGAAACAGTCTAGGTGAGCAAACCACAGTCTTGGACTCCATTTGAAAACATCTGTCCCCATCAGAGGAGCTATGTTTTGAAGAGACTGCTACCCCTTGGCCTTCTCACTCCCAGAGCCAGTAAACACCTGAGGTCATCCCCCACAAACGTAGCCAAATGAAGCTTTGAATACAGGAAGTTTTCTGCTTCTTGGCCTCTTCCAGAAAGACTAGAAAATCCGCAGGAAAACACCGGAGAGGGTGCCCTAGTAGTAGAAAGGATACGATCTGGAGCTAAGGGGACATTCCCAGTTCTCTTACTAAAATCTCTTAGGCAAGTCTGCTTTAACATGTGAAATGCTCAAAGGTGCTAAAGCTTCCCAAAGGAACTCCACCAAAAGGCCCAGTGAGTGACCCTTCTTCTTCTCACACAACACCCAGAAGAGCCACGCTCAGCAGCCAGTGTCATGATGAGAATCACAGCAACAGAGCTACCGGAAAGAGTCTAGGGTATGTACTAGCCTGAAGCCCAAGAGGCAGAAATGCTAAACACAGCCACTCCAGCCAAGGAAGCTGTTTTCAAAATGGCAGTTTGAGAAGAATTCCTGCAGCAATTTGCCAGCTTCATTGCTTGCACTACCCCAGAATGGCCACGCAGAGGCACCAGCATACTCCGCACCCAAATGAAATTCTTGTTTTCCCCCATCTGAGATCTACTAGGGTGCTGTTCAGCCTCCCACAGGGCTTAGTAGAAATACTGCCCCTAATGAAGGCAAATGATAGCCAAAGAATATAAAAGTGGCCACATTCAGAGGACTTTACAACAGCATCCTTGCACTCCGCTCCGCCGTTCCTCCAAACCCTTCGTACACAGGCATACTCCTCAGGATTCCCTAGTCTCCTGCTCTTGTTTCCTTCCCATGCTTCAGTACTAGTACCAGTTCATCCTTCCTTGCAGACCAACTATCCCTCCAGATTTTCTGACTTCTCTCATTGACAACAAGAAACACTAACATCACCTGGCATATGCCATGCTTTATGTGGATTAACACACATAATAATTATAATAAGGAAGATAATAATGAAAAAATAATACTTCAAATAATAATCCTCCTATTCAATAACTGGTTCAAAATCACATAGCCAGAGAGGTGTCAAAGCTGGATTTGAATCCAGGCAGGCTAGCTCTATATCCATGCACTAAACCATTATTATGTCATATTTGGTATTTCTCTTTGAAGGTATACACTTGTATTCCCAGTTTTCCACAAGCACCCAACATGTTTTTGTCGATGATGGCCAGTGAAAGCCCTAAGACTAAGGGACTTAGTCTCACAAAACGGTAAGGCAATAAGTGCAAGGACCAGGTCTCTGATTCACGCTCTATTTCTAGCACCTCACACAGTTCATGGCATATAATAAGCATACGACACATAGTTAGAATTGGCTGGAGTCACATTCAAATCACCATCTACACAGCAAAGACAAAAAAAGAACCTCAAAAGTCCAAATGGAGTTTCCACCAACAGAAACACAGAACTGATGACAGGGCTTGCTATTTTGATAATAATGAGTAGAATCATCCTGTTTCAAAGTCAAAACAAATGTGAGAAAGGAGAAAGAACATGGTTGTAACATAATTATAAGTGGAAAGGAGGTCTATAAAAAAATCTTTATCCGAAAAAAGGTACGGTGAAATAGGACAGGGAGGAGGAGACGTGAGGACGGTGAGCAGGAGGGATCTGTGGGTGCAGAGCCAGACATCTGGAAGTATGTGTGTCCAATTCAAATATTAAAGCCTATTCCATTATTATGCCATGAGTTGGGCCCCATTTTTCTAACACCTTACTTGTTTTATTTCCTAGATTGCAGGGAAGTCAGAACTACCACCCTGCTAAGAAGTCCAGGTCTTGGAAGGGCCATATGAACAGGTAAGGTCACACCATTATGAACTTGGTTAAATACATTTATTCCTTTTATAGAGCAGAATCTTTCTGACTAGTTGCCTCTAATTCAAAGTATGATTTCCCTCGATATTTTCTTTTCATTCACGTGTTAGGCCATATTTAATGACTGCTGACCAGTTAGATACTGGGATATAAGTGTGACCCAGGAAAACATGGTCATGGGCTCAACCAACATGCAAGTAAAATGGGGAAGGACAGGGTGCTAAGATATCACCCATCTGGGGAAAGGAGGTACCTACCCCAGATGCTGAATACTCACAGAAGGCTTCCTAACCTGCTATCCTGGCTGGGGTCTAAAGGATGAAGTTGGCCAGGAAAGTGTGGGAGAGAAAGGGTGCTCCAGGCAAAGAGCACGTGCAGGGGGCTGGGAGAGAGAGCAAGCTTCACTGTAGGGGCTGGAGGAAGCACCACCGAGTTACGGAGGGCATGGGGAGGTGAACATTCTTGCACATAGCTGCTAAGAGTACACAGTTTATCCAAATTCATAAATGTCTACAGAGGAACTTGAGGACAGGTTCAATCCCTTAAACAGCATTCAGTCTGACCTTGGAATTTCACTTCTGGGAATTTATCCTACGGGAAGAATTAAGCATGCATGCAATGATTTAGCCACAAAGAAAATAAACTTATGCCACTGCTTAGAAAAGCAAGATGTGTAAAGCAATCTCAGAGCCCATTTATTGAGAGCTAGTTAAATAAATTAGAAGACAACCAATATTATAAGTTGTTGATTAATATTTATTGGCATGCAAAACTGCTCGCAATATAACATTAAGAGCAAAAGCAAGATATGGTACAGTGCCATGGTATGGATCCCCCTGCAAAAAAAGGTCTGCTTACTTCAGGATTGAGGAATCAGAATTGTTTCAGCTTCGTTTTGCTTGTTTTTTAAATATCTTTAATGAACACGTATTCCTTTTTTAATTAGAAGCATCAGCCACTTTTGAACCTTTTTTTGCAGATGTACTTGCCCCATCAGTGAACTGAGATGAGTCTTATGCTAAGTTCTCAACCAGCTGACTATGAGGGCAAAAAAAAAGGGCTATGGATTGCACAACATACCCCACACCAATGACCCAAACCTTCTTCCTCCTCATACATACCTGGACAAATCCAAATGGGAAGAAGCGCTCAGTCTGCCCCTGGGAGCCATGGTGAAAGGTTTGGCGCCAGTCTTCAATGAGTGCAGGGAATGTGCAGTTGTACAGATCCCTGTTAAAATTCATATTGGACTCCCCTAAAAACAGTCCAGATCATGAGAGGAGTTTGGGGTGGATGCAAACACAACCACACATTGCTCCCCAACCTCTATCCATACCCTTAGGGAGTGGGCCTTCCTACGGTCTCTTTGGACTGGGCTTCTGACTTGTTCTGGCCAAGGGGGCCTCAGCAAATGGGAGGCAAGCAAAGGCTTGAAGAGCCTTGGACTTTGCTCTCTCTTGATACACTGGACCCCTGAGACTGCTACATAAATGATAAAGAAGTCAAACCAATTTGCTCAAGGCTGGGAGGCCACCTGAGTACTGTGATGCCACAGCAGTCAACAGACAGAAGGGAGAGGCCATCCTAGGTTGTCTAGCCACCAGACACCTGCCAGGTGGCCAAAGGCACATAAAAGATCCCAAAAGAAATTAACTAAAGCAGTCTATTCAGGAAAACTACCCTAATAATCCACCAAATGGTCAGCTGAATAAGACTGTTATTTTTTTAAGTCACTAAGTTCTGGGGTGGTTTGTTATGTAGCAAAAGCTAACTGATACAATGAAGAAACAGCAAAATGAGCACTCACCCTGGTACCATATCACCCCTTTAAGAGTCATATTATGCAGTGGATGGATCATGGCATTCCAGAGAACAGAGTGGTTACTGAGACCAGTCACAGAATTAGATTGAGTGAACCTACAATTGATAAGATGTGCAAGTGTCACGAGAGAGCTAGTGACTGATCACCTGACAATCCCTAAACTGGATATCTATCCAGCTTTTGCTTGGCATAAAATTCTGATGAAAGCAACACAGAATCAGACTGAAACACTCTGTTTCACACAAAAATATGTGAACAGCCTCCAACTTTCATATCTATCCTGGTTTTTCCAGGATAAGTGTATCAGTCAACTTTCTAGGAGTTCAGAGGGGGCCATCCCAGTTTCCAGATGAGGTCACTAAAACCAGAGAGGAGGAGTGTTTTATTATCTGTGTCTCAGGCAGACAATAAATGTATTTAACTGGTACTCAGTGGATAGATACTTGGATGTTTTTTAAGCTTTCTGCTTATCTTCCTTATAGCGAAAATCACTGCCTATAGGCTTAATTATGTTCTTAAGATAAATTCCCAGAAATGGAATTGCTGTGTCAAAGGGCACATTTTTTCAAGGCTTTGAACACATTCCTAAATTTCTCTGAAAGATACATATGTGAGTTTATACTCACAGCAACTATATGGGAGAATGCCCACTTCCCCACACACTTGGTGGCATCCCTTGACATCCCCAGAGATCTGGAAAGCCTGGTTTTAGATCCCTCCCACTCTATGTAGGCCATTCTCTCAGTTCCAAAGCCGAACGTCTTCCCTCTCCCACAGGTATGTCTACACCAAGAGCTACACCAAAAGCCCAATCCTCCCCCATGGGTCTTCCCAGATTTAATGAAACAGCATCTGTGAAAGCAGTTCCCATACTTTAATCTCTGTGTTGCTGTTAGTGTTGGGATTTTATCCACAGTATGTTAATAGTATCTACACTTCTAGAGGTTGTTGGGAGTACTAAGTGAATTAATAGATATAAAATGATTACAACAGTATCCAACATAGAGGAAGCTTTCAGTAAGAATTAGCTATTACTAATATTAAGGAAAAGAATCATAATTGCATCTTGACATATTCTCAGATAAGCGTGGTGCTAATGACAGTGGAAATAACATCTCACATGTCCAAGGACTAAGCTATATACATTTAGTACATATTTGGACACTCCACAAATACCTGACTCCCCAAAAAAAACCATGATCCTTCTCTCTTATAAAACTTCCTAGATATTTTTCCCAGACTGCAGGATACTTTCTTACCCTTGTGTAGGAACGCCACAGGCTTTCAGCGACCTTTCAGATGACCAGGCTTCAATGGGTGTCCCACCCCATGAGGAGGAGATCAGCCCAATGGGGTACTGCAGAGTGTCATACAAGTTACGCCCAAAGAGCCAGCACACTGCTGACATGTACTCGTAAATTCCATGGCCTAAGTTCTCTGTTCAGGAAAAGTTAAAGAAAATGAGTCAGAAACATAGTAGTTCTACAACTACATATAAGTCACTGGATTGGCACTGCAAAAGATCCAAACAGTACAGGTACTCAAAAAGTTGAGAGTGTAATACCGGGAATTCAAATCCATTTCGAATGAAATAAAATTGACTGAGCACCTTCTAGGTGCCAGGCACTTCTAGATGGTTGAGATACAGTAAATAAAGAGATATAGAGAGACATGGAAGCTCTCCTCATAGCAGACATTCTACAGAATAAGACATTTACCCACAGGACACCCGGGTGGCTTAGTGGTTGAGTGTCTGCCTTTGGCTCAGGGCGTGATCCGAGGGTCCTGGGATCGAGTCCCACATTGGGCTCCCCACAGGGAGCCTGCTTCTCCCTTTGCCTGTGTCTCTGCCTCTCTCTGTGTGTCTCTCATGAATAAATAAATAAATTCTTTAAAAATAGACATTTACTTGCATAACATATACGGCAAAATATGGCTAAGTGCCTCCAGGGGTACAAACAAGTAGTAAGGGGTTTTAACAGCAAAAGAAAGGATAGTGAATGAAAAGCAGATCACAAAAAGCCTAATAAAACTGACCCCCTCCCCTGAGCTTCCATAACACTCTGTGCAGAGTGTTTCCCTTACCCCCCTAAACTATTAGCTGCTCGAAGGCAGGAACCTTATCTTATTTACTTCTGCTTCCCCCATGTCTAGTACCTGATGGAGTCTCAGTAAATGTCTGTTGGCTGGTGTTGAGTGGTTGTCGGTAGCTGGTGTCAAGAGGTATCTACTGATGGGTAGGTAGAAGGAAAAGGTAAATAGGGGGTGGGGGTACACAGCTGGCATTCCAGGCAGAAGAAACTATGTAAGTAGGCATACAAAGCAGGAAAAATGTTGAAAGTATTTGGCACCTAGACCACAAAAGGAGAACAGCAGAAGGTAAGATGGGAGTCACATCTTGGTGGAAAGAAAGCAGAAGGCCAGAAAGCCACTTGGAAATGCCTGGGAATGAGAATGAGTGGAAGGCAGCCCCACCATCCAAAGTGTCCACACCCAGGCAGCCTGGGTGGCTCAGAGGTTTAGCGCCACCTTCAAGCCCAGGTTGTGATCCTGGAGACCTGAGATTGAGTCCCACGCCTGACTCCCTGCATAGAGCCTGCTTCTCCCTCTGCCTGTGTCTCTGCCTCTCTCTCTCGTGCTCTATGTCTCTCATGAATAAATAAATTTTAAAAAATGTTTTAAAGTTAAAAAAAGAAAGTGTCCACCCCCTAATGCCTGCCATCTGTGGAAATGTTACCTTACATGGCTATGGGGACTTTGTAGGTGTGACCAGGGTTGAGGACCTTGATTGTCCTGAATTATCCAGGTGGCTCCCATCTAATCACGAGTCCTTAATATCAGAGAACCTTCCCAGCCAGGGTCAGAGACATGACAATAGTAGGAGAGGTGGCAGGAATTTAGAATATGAAAGCGCCATGATCTATTGGGCTCTTCCCCGGATACCTGCAATGCCTCACCTTTCTCAGTTGGAACCTCCATGGCCACTCTCAACTGACTGATATATCACTGACCTCTACCCCCTGAAAACCACAACCCTGTCCCAGCCCCAACAGTCCTACTGTACCCCCTTCCCTGATGCATTTTATTTATGTATTTTTGTCTCATTAGCTTGCTCACCATCTTCCCTATCCCTTGATACTCAACAATGTATTTGGTCTCTAAATTTAGAGTGAAAAGGAGGTGATAGCAAGGTATAATGTATTATCCAAATCTAATGGATTCCTGAGTTTTGGGTAATATATAGGGAAGGTTCATAGACCAAAAGATTTATCCAAAAATTTACCCAAATTGAATCAGTGCCTGAATTCAGATAGTGTGATACTGAGTAGTATCAGACACTTTGTATATAATGTACTGATTTTATTCATTTCCTGTATTCCTCCACTCTAGAATGCAAGCTCCATGAGATCAAGTGTTCTTGCCTGTCTTATTCACTGCCATCCCTCCTCAAGCACTCAGAACAGTGCTTAGCACACAGCAGGCTCTTGAACATTTGTTGAATGAATTAACACTTGAAAATGTGGGAGCAGACAGGAAATGACAGATGTTGGCGAGGATGAGGAGAAAGGGGAACCCTTTTACACTTTTGATAGGAATGCGAGCTGGTGTAGCCACTCTAGAAAACAGTGTGGAGGTTCCTCAAAAAGTTAAAAAGAGAACTACCCTATGACCCAGCAATTACACTACCAGGTATTAACCCCAAGATACAAACATAGTGATCCAAAGGGGCACCTGCACTCCAATGTTCATAGCAGCCATGTTCACAATAGCCAAACTGTGGAAAGAGCCCAGATGTCCATCAACAGATGAATGGATAAAGGAATATTAGCCATCAAAAAATGGAATCTTGCCATTTGCAACAACGTGGATGGAACTAGAGGATATTATGCTAAGCAAAATAAGTCAATCAGAGACAGACAATTAAATGATTTCACTCAAATGTGGAATTTAAGAAACAAAAGAAAGGATCATAGGGGAAGGGAGGGAAAAATAAAACAAGATGAAATCAGAGACAGAGACAAGCCATAAGAGACTCTTAATCACAGGAAACAAACTGAGGGTCATTGGAGGGGAGGGGTTGGGGGAGACGGGGTAACTGGGTGATGGACATTAAGGAAGATGTGTGATGTGATGAGCACTGGGTGTTATATAAGACTGATGAATCACTGACCTCTACCCCCTGAAATCAATAATACATTATATGTTAATTAACTGAATTTAATTTTTTTTTTAATGTGGGAGCAGAGATTACCAAAGTAAAGCAGGTACAGACAAAAAAAGAAAAGGGATAAGAAAAAGCACAAGGGACCATATCTGGAGGAAGAGACTGAAGAAAGAAAAACGAGAGAGAGAGAAGTCAGAGGAGAAGCATTAGGGAGAGGAGGTACCATGCAAGCCAAGAAGAGTATGCAGTTTCTACTTTTTTAAGACTGATTTATTTATTTATTAGCTTACTTTATTTTAGAGACAGAGAGAAAGAAAGCAACAGTGCTTTCTATTAGGGCAGAGGGAGAGGGAGAACCCCAAACAGACTCCCAACTGAGCACAGAGCCAGCCACGGGGCTCAATCCCAGGACCCTGAGATCACGACTTGCGCCGAAATCTAGTCAGACGTTCCACTGACTGAGCCACCCAGGCGCCCCCGGAACATGCAGTTTCTTTTTTTTTATTTTTATTTTTATTATTTTATTTTATTTTATTTATTTTTTTTTTTTTTGAACATGCGGTTTCTAAAAGCGGTGGTCAGCAGCGTCAAGGGCCAGAGAATCCAGAGTATATAATTGGAAGAGCAGCAGTAGCCTTCAGGTGAACAAGTTGTTGAGATGGAAGCAGAAGCCAAATTACAAAGAACACATGGAAAGGCAGTGAAGAGAATGAGAACAAAAGATGTTCTAGGAAAGCTTAACAAAGCGAAGGTAAGAGGTGAGGCATCATGAGAAGGGTGTTTGTTAAGTTTCATTTTGCTTTGTTTCATTGGAATAAAAGAAAGACTAAATCTGAGAGCAGGGCCTGTGCCTGTCCTGCTCACTGCTGTATCCTTGGGGCCCAACACAAAGCCTGACACAGAACAGGCAGGAAATAAAGATTCTATGCTGAATGGACAGGGGCGTGGAAGACCAGAGCTCTAGGGGTAAAAGAAAGGCCATGGAGGGGGTGGCCCCTGCATCAAAGGCAGCCCTGAAAGGACACCAGTCAGTTAGGTTCAGACACAGAAACAAAGGAAGGGGAAGAAAGGAGAAGCGCGTTGAGGCAGTGGGGAGAGACGCTGGTGGAGCTCATGCTGCATGGCCTCAGTGTGTTCAGTGAAGCTCAAGGAAGCATCATTGCTCATAACGAGATGGAAGAGTCACTGGTGGGATCTTGGGAGGGAATGTGAAATGGCTACTGTCAGAAATTGGGTGGCCAGTCAACAAGGAATGAGGAAAAGGATGGTGGGATCATAATAAATAGATCAGAACCGAATCCAGGATTACGGATTCCACCCAAGGCACTGACCCATCATGTAAGAGATGGCCCATGTCCCAGCGATCGCTTACCTGTGGTGGGCTTAGCCCACTGCAAGTCAACCTTAGCAAGATCCTCCAGCTCCTGCTCTGCCTGAATGAGTGACACGGAGAAGATGCGGACAGACTGATAGGCTGCGGTGTTAGCCAGCTCCCTGGTGGCATTGAATATCTAGAAAAGAAACAGCAATGTCATTTCTTACCCCCACCTAGTGGGTGGTCAACTATCCTACTACCTCTTAATAAACACTGCCAACCCTCTGACCTCCTACTGAGCCTTCATATACCAAGATCAATCAAATAAATAACCAAAACCAGAGATGGGCTGGTCTGAGTCACCTTGATCCACCTTGATGAACAAAGACCATGATGAACCACATCCCCGAAGACAGCAGGAATGCAGTGAAATGTGAGATCTCCAAGAGCAAGTCTGAATCAGATGAGGTCTAGGCTGAAGGTCAACTACCAATTAGACCACTGTGATATCTTAAAACTAAAATAAAAAAACTAAAATACTTCTCTTCAGAAAAAGTATCTGATGACATAAACTTAGCATTAACTTATTTTCAAAATGGAGCCCAAAAGGCCAGGGGGGAGGTAGATTTGTGTAATCCACAGCACATGAGAGAGGTGTCTTCCAAAGGAACATACCTGAGAAACACAACTGTAGAAGGATTGAAACATACCAAAAAGTCTCAAATGCTTATATTCTCATCTCATCCTGGCACATCACCCAAGAAAAGCACGGGACGCATGGCAGCTCGAAAGGTGGTGTTCGCTGTGACTGCTGAGAGCACGCCCAAGGAACCAGACAAAGAAAAGCATCCATCCAAAGACACCACTTTTTCTCAAATCCCTTCCCAAAACCTCCCCAGTTGCCAAGAGCATGACAGCAATGGCTTGGACCTTTTCTGGATGAGGATGAGCTCTACTGAGTGGTTTCTTTGTTAGTCATTCCTCTATGAGCTTACTCAAAAGTGCTATTTCCTCCCATCCTGACTTTGCAGCTAGGTTTTTCTTTAAGAATGTATTGTAAATATATTGTTTTGTTTTGTTATTTGTGTGTGTGTGTGTTTTTCCTCATCTCTCTACTCCCCTGGCCTCGTCTGGTTTTCCCAAAACAAAGGGCTAACAGGAGCATCAGGAAGCCCAGTTATCATTGGCCTCAGGGAACAAGAAGAGCTCCAGCTGACAGGACTGCCACACCGAGAGGCGCAGGAGGCTGGGATTCTTTCCATTGGCCTCTAGCCACAGAGTGTGCAGCTGGCTCCATCTCCCTCCCACCCACCACGGGGAATACAGCTGGCCCTCCAGCCCACGGTGGAGAGAAACCCTGGAGCAGCCAGGGTGGCCCCCACAGGGCATTTCATTGAAAGAGGCTGCCCCTTGCACCGCCTTTTGACTTGCCACGGAACCTGCTGCGGCCAATAAGCCAGGCCAGCTACAAATGAAATGTCTGGGGTGGGGGGTCCCCCAGGGAGCCACAGCTTGAGACGCCCCCTGGGTGACAGCAGCTCTAGCTGGTCAGGGTTACGGGCCTTCCCACTAGCAGGACAGAGATTATATACGGTCTCCGGAAAGTTCCATAGGAAATCCAGACCTGTTTGTTCAGAATCCTGCCTGGCAAGCCTACTGTAAAACAAACAGCAAAAGAGTAAAAACAGGCTACAGAGCTCCACAGTCTATTCTGGCAGGAAAATTATTTTTCAGCAGCAAGTACCTGTAAAATGTCACCTCCCTGGAAATCAGCTCTGCTCTGAGCACTAAGGATCCTACGTTGCTGCCATGGAAACGGGGGATGAAACCGCCTTCCTTTCTCTCCACCCACACAGGCTTCCGCAGCGACTGGGAACTCGAGTGCCTCCATGAGATGCCAGTGTGGGCAGGCGGTGTGGACCAACCGGCGACGGGTCGCAGAGACCCGCTGCTAGCCCAGTGGAGCAGGGCAAGGCCGACACGGTCCTAGGTTACCAGCACATGGAACCGGATCCCAACCCCGGGCTGGGAAAAAGTTCCTTTTTCAAACTCACATTTGCATACTGTTTCAAGCCCAAACTCGAAAGCCACAGCAAGTGTTAAAAAGGGTGATGCTGGGGTGGGGGGCGATTCTTGCTCTACCTGATGACAATTCCTTCTGAAATTGGTGTCCTTTCCCAGTGTCACCAAGCCCTCTCGATTGGAAGCGCTTCCTCAGGGATATTGGCAGTGAATTTAGGAATAAAGAGATTTCAGGAAGATTTTCATTTAAATGACACTTGGTTTCCCTGGCTGATCAAACGGGAAGCCTTACTCCATCTGCTGAGATCAAATTTCATCTCATCAAACACCTCAGTGTAATTATTTTTCTACCAAGTATTTAAATGAGGATGTAAATGAATACCAAGGTATTTGAAGTCATTAAGGCTGCTGCGGCTGAGAGGGAGACCCACTGCCTCTCCAGGGACCCCCGGTTCACCATCAAAGCAGCTGCTCGCCGGTGTTCATTTTGTAACCTTTATGCCACATTCTTGAATTAATGAAGAAACGTCAAGAATCTATTTTCCTCGGAGAATCTTGGCATGGGGTCTGCATGAGGGAGCAAGGCATGTGTGTGAGAGTATGTGTGTGTGCGCCGGGGACACGCGGGGAGCTCTACTTAAAAGAATCTGGATTCTGTACGTTGCGGTCCCTTCTCTACTACAGTATAACTGAGCAGTTTTAAAGTAGAGGGAATAACTATAAACAAGCCAGCCATCATAACTCCCGTGAATCTTTTATTGTAATATGGTACCAGCCCTTTGCTTCTGGATTTTGACTTCTCTACGTGTAAAGGAGGAATGTCAGGATTGCCACAATATTGAAAACTGGGTTTCCTAACACTGGCCATCTTCTTCTGAGCCTAGCTAGAAATATCCAAGTCTTAAGACCTACCCTGACTTAGGAGGCAACAGATGAACGTTTAGACTTTTCTCCATTTATACACATCTCACTCAGCGTTATAAATAACACTCAATCTTAAAATTCCACTTCACCCTAACAACAAGATGGGCATACAATCTGCCATTTCCTTCATTTGAATGTGAAGTGGTAGGTTATAGTAGAAATCTTACCTCCTCAGAAAAGTCATGTGGAGGGGGGCAAAGAGAAGAGAGACACCATGTGTGTGTACGTGTGTGTGTGCGTGCACATGCATGTACATGTGTGTACGTGTGTGTGTGTGTCTTTTGTGCTGGGAGTCTTTAGAGGAAAAGGAGCAAAAGGGATAAAAGAGGAGTCATATAAAGCATCTTTCTGATCAAAAAACAAAGTTCTACACAGTGCTAAGAGACTGGAAAACTTGGCTTTGGATACCGTCAGCACCTAAAATGCTGTCTTACAAACTAAGTGCATGATTTAAAACAAAAAAAATAAAAAATGAACACTTGGCTGTGTCAGAAGGAATCTTTTTTTCTATCTCCCTGTATCTCAGAGCTTGTAGCCTTAGTCTAATGCACAAGATGCGTAAGAGTAAATTCTAGGCAGAGAGAATGTGTTCACTCTTAACAATATCAAAATCTGATTTAGCTTGACAGAAAATGGGATGCGATCCCCTGGCATAGACTGCTATTGAGAACCTGACTGTATAGATACAAATACATCTGGTCCATGCCTTTCTGTGCAAACAGGAAACTACAATTAAAGCATTAAGGAAAGTACTGTTTTCCTTAGTGAGTTAACAGCAATCCCACTTCTATACAAAACCATGCTTTCTCTCAAGATACAAAACTTCAATTTTGCTTCCATTCACTAGCAGTAAAAGGGAACACAAAGTTCACCTTAATAAACATTTAAATTCAAAGTTGTCCATATATTTAAGCAGGGCTGGAAACAACAGTAAATAACACATCAGTTATGAAGCCATAAACACAAGAATTTAGATTCTGAATTACAAAACTAATAAAAAAATGAAGTAGATATGTCCAGAGTAGGATCTTTTTAGTAGTATTATTTAGTAATTAGTTAACAAAAGAAAAAGAAAAAAAGCAATCGGGTAGAAGCAATAGAAGCAAAACAAGAAATCATAAAGTAAGTGAAAGGACTCAATTTCATAATCTGAAGATAAATGAATTGAGATCATAGTGTCATAGAGATTTTTAAATCTCAAACATATTTATTTCTCAAAAATTGAGAAGTAGATAATATGAGAAAGTCAGGGAAATAAAAATCAACTTGAGAAGAAATTAAGTTTTAGAGAAAGAGCTGGAGAGATAATAATCTTTTCAAGTTCTTAGCCTATTAAAGGAAACAAATCAAAGTATGCAGAACATATCTACGCCAACCCATTATGTAAATTAAATAATTTATTACTAAGATTCTTGTTTCTATAACGTGAGTCCTTATTGTAAACTGAGCCTTTGATAAATATTTAAGAGATTAGTTAAGTCAATATCAGTTTCTTGTTTTTATAGCTTTTAAAAATTATAGTTATTTCATGCTCATTATAGAAAAATCAGAACATACAGATAAGCAAAGAAAATCAATCCCGATTTCAAATGTGCCAAAGAACTTAAATCTCTAAAGTTCTGATACTGCACAAAAAAATCTTTACTCCTCTTTCAGCAATATTTTAAGCTGACAGAGTCAATATATGTCTATGAACTTGCTAATCCACTGTCCAATCCTGATTCCAATTTAAATGAAACAACAATGGTCTCCCTTACTTTTATTTTAAATCAGATAGCTCCCACCAAACAAATGAAACAATGACAATTCTGAGGCCCAAAGCACTCATCCCACGGTACCCTATCCAGAAATCCACTCTCTTTATTCTAAACACTTTTTGTGTTTGAGAAAGTAGAGCTGATCTTAAAAAGAAAGCTGAGGGCTGAAGACATATAGCACCAAGGCTTTTTTTCTACCACTGCTGCCTTGCTAGAATACCAAACTAAGAGGTGTGCTTCCCTCAGTAACTTTTTGAGTGTCCTTTTTTATACAGCTTTACTGAAGAGACCTCACTCATAGTCTATTAGAGGAGCCCCATTCTCTAATAGCAACAAAGATAGGAACTCTTCAAAGTGACTTTCATTGCTGACCACCATATTGGCAAGTCACCATTCCACTGTCCTATCCCACTTAATTCTCCATGTACTCCCTTGGAAGCCTACCCAGTGCTCTTCCACCCAACATTCTAGCAGGGTACATGGAACCTAGGGAAGTACCTACATAGTTATAATAAAGGAGAAAATATGTGAGGTCTCAAAATTTAAGAACTGTTCACCTTCAAAGACCATGACTGAAACAGAGAAAGAAGAATTGATGCCAAAAAAAAAAAAAAAAGAAGGGATCCCTGGGTGGCGCAGTGGTTTGGCGCCTGCCTTTGGCCCAGGGCGCGATCCTGGAGACCCCGGGTCGAATCCCACGTCGGGCTCCCAGTGCATGGAGCCTGCTTCTCCCTCTGCCTGTGTCTCTGCCTCTCTCTCTCTCTCTCTCTCTCTCTGTATGACTATCGTAAATAAATTAAAAAAAAAAAGAAGAAGAAGAAGAATTGATGCCAACTAAAGAAATCCTAAGCTATGAAAAAGGTGAGCAAAAAAAGTCATCAGTAGCCTATTATTTCTTTCTGTGAAAGAAAAAATCATATATAAACATATTCATTTGACATATGAATATATATCAATTCATATACGATGCCTAATTAAAGTATCAAGATGTCTACCGCTTACCTTGAGATAGTTCACACACACACACACACACACACACACACACAAATAGATAAACCAAATATGGCAAAATATTAACACCTGTCAATTTAAGTGATGAGTATATAGGTGCGTATAAATATCTTTTGTGTGTGCTTAACTTTTTATAATACAAAGTTTTTTTAATGGTGATACCTTATATTTGAACAGCAGTTTTCAATTTATAAAGGCCTTTTAGAAACAAACACAATAATTTAATCTGTAAATTAGGTCAGATATTGTAGTATAGTCATGAAAACTAATTCTAAGACATTTAACAAAATTCATCATACCTTCATGATAAAAAAAAACAGTTTTTATAGAGGGAAAACTCCTCAATATGATAAAAGGCATTTATGGGAAAACCCACAAGTAACATCACACTCAGTGGTGAAAGAGTGAAAGCTTTCCTCCTAAAACCAAGACAAGACATGGATGTCTGTTTTCATCACTACTATTCAATATTGTACTAGAAGTATTAGCCAGAGCTATTAGATAAGAAAAAAGAAATAAAAGGGATTCAAATAGGTAAACCTATCTCTATCCACAGATGATACGCTCTTATGTTAGAAAACCCAAAAAATCCACAAGAAAGCTACCAGAATAAACTAATTCAGCAGTTTCGGGGTACAAGATCAACGTGCAAAAATCACTCTATACACCAGCAATGAGCAGTGCTAAGAGGAAACTAAGAAAGAAATTTTATTTACAATTGTATTAAAAAGAATTAAGTACTTAGGAATAAATCTAGCAAAGGAGGTAAGAGATGTGTACACTGAAAACTGTAAAACATTGCTGAAAAAAAGTAAAGATCTAAATTAATGGGAAAACATCCCTTCATATCAGGAAGGCTTAACACCATTAAAATGTCAACATCACCCAAAGCAATCTACAGATTCAACATAATAACTAACAAAGTTCCAACAGCCTTTTTTCCCAGAAATGGAAAAGTATATCCTCACATTCATATGGAATTGCAAGCAACCCTAAATAGCCAAAACAATCTTGAAAAAGAAGAATAAATTTGGAAGACTCATACTTCCCAACTTTGAAACCTACTACAAAGCTACAGTAATTAAAAGAGTAAGGGGTAGCCCACGTGGCTCAGACCTGGGATCGAGTCCCACACCGGCTCCCTGCATGGAACCTGCTTCTCCCTCTGCCTGTGTCTCTGCCTCTCTCTCTCTCTCTCTCTCCCTCTCTCTCTCTCTCTGTCTCATGAATAAAATCTTTAAAAAAAAAAAAAGAGCATGGTACTGGCATAAGCAGAGACATATAGACCAACAGAATAAAATAGGAAGCCAGAAATAAACCCTCACATATATGGTCAATTGGAGTTCCAAGAGTTGAATGGGGGCAAGGACAGTCAGTCTTCAACAAGTTCTTCTGGGAGAACTGGATATCTATTTGCAAGAGAATGAAGTTAGACCTTCACCTCATACCATATATAAAAATCGACTCAAAAAAATGGATCAAAGACCTAGAACTATAGAATTCTTAGAAGACAACATTGCAACACTGGATTTGGCAACAATTTCATGAATATGACACCCAAACCACAGACAACAGAAAAAAAAAATAAACTAGACTTCACCAAACTTTTGTGTATCAAAGGACACTCTCGAGAAAGTGAAAAAAATGACAGCCTACAGAATGGGAAAATATTTGCAAGTCAAAGATCTGAAAAATGTTTAATATCAAGAATATGTACATAATTCCTACAATTCAACAACAACCCAATTGAAAAAAGGGGCAAAGAACTTAGACATTTCTCCAAAGATATATAAATGACCAATAAGTACATGAAGTAACGCTCAATATCTTTAAACATTAGGGAAATGCAAATCAAAACCACAATGAAATACCACTTCATATCTACTAGCATGACTATAATAAAAAGCCAGAAAGTAACATGTGCTAAAGAAATCAAAACCTTTGCAGACTGCTGGTAGGAATATAAAATAGTACAGGCACTGTGGAAAAATGGTTTGGTGGTTCCTCAAAAGTTAAATATAAAACTAACAGATGATCCAGCAATTTCACTCATAGGTATATACCCAAAAACATTGAAAGCAGGGACTGGAAGAGATATCTCTAGAGCAATGCATAGCAGCATCATTCACAATAGCCAAAAAACAGAAACCTCCCAAGCGTCCATCAACAGAAGAATGGATAAACAAAATGTGGCATACACAATGGAATACAATTCAGTCGTAAAAAGGGACAAAATTTCAATATATGCTACAACATGGATAGACCCTGAAAACATTATGCTTAGTAAAATAAGTCAGACACAGAAGGACAAGGATTGCATGATTCCATTTACAATAGCATCTAAAAGAATTGAATATTTAGGAATGAATAAATCCAGCCAAGGAGGTACACCAAAAACCGAGGTACTAAGAAGAGGCAAATTCATAGAAAGAAAGCAGAAAAGAAGTTACCAGGGGGCTGGGAGAAGGGGAAAAGGAGGACTTATTGTTTAAGGGGTACAGAGTTTATGTTGGGGATGAAGAAACAATTCTGCATACAGATAGTGGTGATAGGTACACATAGGACTGTGAATATATTTAATCCCACTGAGTTGTATACTTAGCAATGGTTAAAATGATAAATATGATGCTATATTCATTTTGACCACAATTGTTTTTAAAAAGCACATTTTGAAAACAAAGTCTCAGAAATACAAAGTGATTTGCTCCAAGTCACACAACTGGTAAAAGGCAAAGCCAACATTCAGTCTCAATTTGTTAAATCTCCATGACAACAAAAGACATGTATTATATTAGACGCATAGCTTAACACAAAATCTAATTGTTTTGATTTCTGAGGCTCTCTCCAGAAGCTCATCTTCTAAAACCTATCAAAAAGAAGAGTAATCTGGGGATCCCTGGTTGGCGCAGCGGTTTAGCGCCTGCCTTTGGCCCAGGGCGCGATCCTGGAGACCCGGGATCGAGTCCCACATCGGGCTCCCGGTGCATGGAGCCTGCTTCTCCCTCTGCCTATGTCTCTGCCTCTCTCTCTGTGACTATCATTAATGAATAAAAAAAAATTTTTTTTAAATCTTTAAAAAAAAAAAAAGAAGAGTAATCTACTTTATCTTTCAATTTGATGTGAAATCCGCCTGACCGTCAGATACTTCAGCTTCTGCCTTTAGCTCAGAAAGGAGAGAAAACAGTGCCCTGCACCCTTACACTGAACTAGGTGTGATTAAGAAAGCAGGCTCTGGAGTCACATCGCCTGTTCATATCTGGCACCACTATTAACTGTGTGACCTAAGTAGGTAAATTAACCTCCATTAGATGAGGACCAGTGTCCTCATCTGTGAGATGAACAACCGTACTTACCTCATTAAGTTAAATTAATTATTACATGCCACTTAGAAAAGACCTTAGTCCATGGTTTAAAAAAAAAAATTCTTGCCCTCTTCTTCCTCCTTCTTTTTCTTCTTCTTCATCATCAACATTATTTATTAACACTGAGATTCTGTAAATTACCTGTGAAACCGTCATCTGCATGTTACTCTGCCCACTGCAAAGCCAGACATCTCCAAATAAGACATCATGAACTCTCAGGGTGAAGTTCGTTTTCCCAAATGTCTGCTGTGCCATCACCTCATAAGGTCCACCAGGCTTCATAGGATCCAGTACCACCATCCAGCTGTTAGAGTGTGCTGAAATCATTGAAAGGCTCCAAGGAATTAATCAATCAATTAAAATGAAATTAAAGTCCAGTCCTGCCATGCATCACACTCATTTGTGGCTAAACACAGCCATTGTGATGGACTGAACTCAAAGATATGAAGATTGGCCAAATTTCACACAAGCAAATAAGAAATAACAAAAGCAACAGCATTTCTATGCTTAATCTGTGCTAGTCCCTCCTTCCTTGTAACTGAAGCATTTATAAGAAAAATAAATCAGCCAGCTATAATCCTAAATGAGAATAGACAAAAACCGAGATTAAAATTCAGGGAGTTTAATTTAAAAAAGCACAAAGTAGAAATTCCTATTAAACTAACCAACTGTCAATATTAATAGAATCATAACCCAATAGATTTACACAGGGCCCCAAACAAATTTGAAATTATCTAATCAAAGGTGAACACAGGTTAGAGAAAATAATTTATAATCTGGAACTTCCCCTTACGTGATGGTATCATCCTTGTCATCAATCACCCACCCACACTCCATGTTGCTTCCAAGGATTAACGATACCAGTGGGTCTGAGTTCTCCAGACTCACAGGTGAGTGCAGAGAGTGACATATAAAGAAGCAGTAGGAGCATACAAATTAATCTCTCTGTGAAGAAGACATTTAGACGTGCCCAATTAATTATTTTCACAGAGTTATTTACCAGACTCAAGGTTTTCGGACTCAATTAGGGAGATGAAAAGCTATCCAAGACCCTATTTCAGAAATTCATAGCATATTCCTTAGGAACCACCCCCCTACCACCTTCCTACCTCTCACCCACTCATACCACCACCACTGCCAACATCATACTCAGAAACTTAGGGAAAATATCTTCAAAATGGCAAAATTATGCCACAGAGAACCAAACATGAACAAAGTTGAAGACGTGAGAGTGAGAAAAATAAAATAGAGAAATGATCGTTGTAAAATAAATATTCTTGGCATAATGCCAAAGAATACAAAATAATCTCTAATTTGCATCCATCATATCGACGTGAATTCTTTTTTATTTATTTTTATGTTTTGTATATTTTTATTGGAGTTTAATTTGCCAACATATAGCATAACACCCAATGTTCATCCTGTCAAGTGCCCCCCTCAGTGCCTGTCACCCAGTCACCCCAACCCCCCGCCCACCTCCCCTTCCACTACCCTTTGTTCATATCAACATTAATTCAAAGGGAAAGAATGGTAAGAACTGGAAATGGAGTACCCTGAAGTTTTTACAGCAACCTGTAAAAAAAAATGATAATTATAAAAATACTATCCAAGTGCCTACTATGTACTAGATTCTGTGCTAAGTTCTCTCCAATCAGCAGAAGCCAAGCAGAATCCTGAGAGGTCCAGATGCACAACAGGAGACTAGTAAAAGCTCCAACCATACAGGATTGCTCAGAGCCTTGGGGGAAATGTCCAAAAGCCTCGAGCCATCCGCGCAAGCCTGCGTGCTTGCTCCTCTCAAAAGTACATCCAACTGAGGTTGCTACTCCCATCCATCCCTTGGAGGTCAACTAAAGCTAGGACCAAATGCTCACTATTGTTTTTATATCACCAATAGCCAGACATCAACATATTAAATGTATAATTCACCTAAAGCAGAAAAATCACTGTTTTGGAAACAGTGGGCAGCGAGTACAGATTGTGTCGCACAGGTGCGATGTGCTCCATATGGCTCGTGCTTCTGAGCAGACAGACGCTCCAATCTGCCCAACTACAGTCTTGCCAAGGTCTTTCCAGGCTTCTTGCACTGACATAGCTTACTGGAGCTCGGTCCTTCTGCCACCAACATTACTCATTTATTGACAAGGTGGTCAAAGAACCTCGGGCAGGACTTTTTTAGCTCTCTACTACCGTACACTCTACTCCTAGCCACTGCCGTTCATTAGATACTTACGCATGGCCTCAACCCACGAAATCCAGCAAAGAAAATGGCCTTCGCCAGGGCTTCTGGAAGCTTGTGCTGCCCCCCAACCAAAAGACAAAGGACAGGAAGGAGGGACCTTTGGGCAAGAGATGGCAACACGGTCTTACCACAACAGGTGGGTGAGCTCTCTCCAGCGCCTAAAGGGTCTAAGAGAAGCCAGGATCCAGACCTGAGCCTGATTCCCAAGAACTGCCTCCTGAGAACGATCAACTCCCTCAAAGACTTTGGAGAACTTTTCTGCCCTACTCTTCAAGTTCACTTAGTTTCAAGCAGTTTTCCCCTCCCCTCAGTAAAAGGAAACTAAACTGTGGCACAATAATGAGGGTTAAGTGGAGTTATTGCCTGGGAACATGGGGGAAACCAGATCCACCGCAGAGAGCTAACTAGTGGTCAGACTAACTCAGAAACAGCTCATTTAAAACAAGGAGGATTCTCTCCCATGTTAAGTATATGTGAAGGAGAGCAACCCCCCGTGAAGGAGAGCAACCCCCAGCTTCTCCAACTAATGGCAAGGGTAGGCTGACAAAGGCAAAAGTCACCATGTTTCCCAAGGAGAACTCATTGGTTTTTGACTGTCAGTTCAGGGCTGGCTGGGTAAAGTGGAGCTTGACACAGGATGATGAAATCCACTTATGGTTTTTAGAAACTGTGTTGACCCACCAAGTCCACTAGGTTGAATCCAAATAATGAAACTGAGTCATTGACTATGAAGAGTTGGAAGCTCACCATCCATCCAGCTGGCTTTCTGCTGGTCCTGATGGGCCTTCTGAGCAACAGCTTCTTCTGGGCCCGCATCACCTGCTCTCTTATAACCTCTCTTCCAATCCAGGCCCAGGTTTCTGTAAATTCTCATTTTTGTTTCATTCAAATCTCTGCTTCTTCACATTCTTTCTTCTCCCACCAGGGAAGATTCATGTTCTTCCTTCATTATATAGTTTCTTAGAGTGCTTACCGTGTGCTAGGCACTCCCATCAGTAAATGACAGAGAGTAAACCCCAACCCTGAGTTACACCAACAGGAAAGCCATGCAAACTGATTAGGGTTTTGTCTTTCCATGTCCAAGGGTGAGTATACCTGGTGGCCTATTTCTTCCTGTCCCTCTTCTCTTCATACTCCGGCCAAAGGCACAAGTGAAAAATTCTCTCCATTTTCTCTCCACCTCCTTGACCAACCCCCAGTTCAAAATCAGGGGAACAAATCATCAAAGGGAAAAAACATTAAAAGAATTTGTCTGAAGACGTGATTAGTCATAAAGTGCTTTCGTGTTTTTTTCTTTTGGCTGTTCACATCAGATGTTAATTATTTTTCAGGTTATTGTGCCAAATCTCAGATGCCAAGAAGAGGAAAAGGAAAATTATCCATGACCTATCCCTTCCCAAAAGAAAAAGCCTAGAGCTGGAAGAAGCAGCCCTGTTCACTTCTTCCCCCACAAAATTCCTGGCACTTCACCAGCTGCAAATCAGTTCAATGATGTGCAGAAGTGACTTGGAAGTCTCAGTGCCCAAACTGCCCCGTTACAACCTGCATTTATTCTGTATAAAGTGCATCTCCACCACCGTTAAACATGAATGTAAAAAGAAAAAAAAAGCTTGCATATTTTTTCTATCGAGAAAACTGTTTATGCAAGTTAAGTTAGAGCATCCCATGACAGACACACCCCCAGGTGACACCCAATAAGTAGTCACAGCCTCGTATAATCCCCTCCCCTCAAATGCATGCAGAACCTGTGACTTGCTTCCAACCAACAGAAAATGGCATAAGGAAGAAGATGTCATTCTTGTGATTAGGTTACATTATATGGAAAAGATAAAGGGGTTTTGCAGAGGGAATTACAGTTCCTAACCAGGTGACTTTAAGTTAATAAAAAAAGGAGATTTCCTTGGGTGGGCCTGACCTAATAACATGAGCCCTTTAAAATAAAGAAGGTCTAAAATAAATAAATAAATAAATAAATAAATAAATAAATAAATAAATAAATAAATAAATAAAAAAAATATAGAAGGTCTAGAGATCAGAGATTTGAAACAGCAGAGATGCTTCCATGAATGCTATAGGCATAAGGAAATGAATCTGCTGCAGCCCACAGGAGCTTGAAGAGGCTCATTCCCTAACCAACCTTCCAGATGAGAACACGGCCCAGCCAACACTTAATTTCAGTCTTGTGAGACCCTGATCAGAGAACCCAGCTGAGTGATAGCCCAGGCTTCAGATCTCTAGAAACTGTGTCACAATAAAAGTGTGTTGTTTTAAGTACCTAAGTTTTTGGTATTTTATTGTGTAGCACAGTGCATGCTGACACTGCAACCAGGAGGTTTGTTTTTTTTTTTTTCTTCTCTAAGGGGTTTAAGCTTTTTGTAATTTTCTAAGCTAGAGAAAATATCTCTACTCACCTCAATCATGATGAAAAATCAAGACACACTCTCATTTTATCACCACCACCCCCTCAAGCATCCCTCAGGTACCTCAGAGTGAGAGGATACACCCTATCCTCCTCCATTTTATTCCTTGGGTCTGAAAGAATCATCATGCATCATTTGTTAATATGGTTGGGTTTTTTTGTTGTTTTTTGTTTTTGTTTTTGTTTTTGTTTGTTAATATGGTTTGAATAGGCCCAGTACCTGGCCCATATTCCCAATCATCCCTCAAGTTTTAATTTTCCCAAAGCTTAATTGCCAGTTGTCCTGGACAAAAACCTTCCTGCTGTTAATTCCATTTTGTTGTGGGCACCCAGGGGATTGATTATAGGTAATAAGTTAAATATTAACAGAGACAAAGTGACAATTTGAGATAGTCTAGCTGAAAATCCCAGAGTCCTCATCAAAATTTAAATAGAAATCAACCCTCCAATATACCCTGGAATGTTTCCTTTGAGAAGCATTTTCTTGGTGCCCTATAAAATTTCCTACATGTCTCCCTCCTTTACTCCAAATAACACTTTACCCATTTTGCGTCATGTGCAGAACAGAGCAAGATGCCCCTATCGGTAGGTTTATGGATCTATGTAAAATAAATACCTTTCTTCTCTACCTAGCAAATGTGGAGAGACTAAGAAATAGATCTAGCCCCACCGCCAATAACAACCACTCCTTTTCCCGTGAAATTACCATCAACAATCCATGAATCACTTGGTTCCCTTAAGCTGTTGCTGGATATTTTAACTTCAAATGACACATCACTTTGCAGTGAGGCAACTGAAGCATTGCTTAAATCAAAAGTACCAAACGTGAAAGGATAGCAAGAAGTGAGTTCCTGGAGGATGGGCACAATTTGTATTCTTCCTTGTATTTTCCAGGGCTTCAGTGTTTTATACACAATAAGCCCTCAACTGATATCTATAGATAAGTGAGCAAGTTCACTATCACTGAAGGAAAAGAAAGGCTCATCCCTTAATTGTTACCTTCTACACCTTGTTGTCATTACCTACCCTCTTGCCTCATCTCTGGCCACTCCAAATCTTGGTCCTACAATCACCATGAAGGGGGAACAAACTAAAAATAATGCATAAGAATGTTAAAAGAAAACTGAAATGCTACATATATGGGCAGAACAGAGCAAGATGCCCCTATAAGTAGATTTATGGATCTACATAAAATAAATACTTTTCTTTTCTACTAAGCAAATGTGGAGAGCCTAGCAAATATATATAAAGTGTATATATACACACATACATATGTATATATGTATATATATGCATATATGTATGTACATCTTCTGTATCTACCATTACAGTACTATGTAGTCTCTGTCTCCTAAATATTTATTGGTATGTTAATTATTAGCACCAAGGAAATCCTATTTATTGTTTTTAAACTACAGCGGTTCTTTGGATTTCTAAATCAACATCATTTTCTGAGATAACCAGTATTTATTCTCTGTGCTGTTAATTTCTAAGATAGACGCAAAAAGAGAGCACTGCTCATGTCTCGAATTGAGTCTATCTTCAGTTTATCCTATAGGCCACCAGTAGCATTTAATCTAATGGCAAACAACTTCTCAATCAGCTTAAGCTTTCCTTTTAACTCTCTTAGTTTCACTCAGTAACATTCTTACCTCAAAAAGTGTTGAAATCCAAGAACTAGAGGCACTCACCTGGCATCTAAGGCTGGTACATAGTATTTAAAAATGTTTGTTGAATGGAAATGAATTACAAAGAGCCTGCACCGGAATCTGGATCACTCTGAACTGGATATTGACAGAACTAATCAGGCAATCCTTGTTTTCAAGGGCCAAAAACACTTCCACAAGCTTCCCGGTCATATATATATATATATATAACCAAGTCACTACTTGAACCACCAACTCCCACATTCACCCCACTGCTCCCCAGAGTAGCCTCCTGACCTGTCTCTCACCTTCAACACCCCATAACTCTACCACTACCTCTAACGGAGATCTGATCCAGTCTCCACTTGACCCAGCCCTGACTGTGGCCTCCTAATCCAGTAATTTCCAGCTATGCTCCTCCACATGCTGTTACGCAGCTTAACCTCTTCTGGACAGAGAATCCTTTGTACGACCTGTCTGCTCTTGGAGGCTTCTGGTCCTAGCCTTCTTGAACATGCCTACAGCCACTACCTCAGGTCAGGCCTTCATTGTCTCTTGCCTGAATATCATAATAATTGGCTAACAGTTCTCACCACCTCTACTCTTACTGATCCCCAATCCACTTTCCATAGTGCTGCCAGAGTAATCTTTCTAAAATACAAATCCGACTGTCGATCCAAACTAGAGTATACACTCCTTAGCAGTGACAGACAAGCCTTCCTACATTTTAAACCTTCTTTCCCAAAGTCTGCCAGTAGCCACATACCCCACTGTTCAAGCAAACCAACCTGCTCGCCTTTCTCCAAGAACCTGTGCTCACTCGTGCCTCTGGGCTTTCATCCAGGCTCTTCCCCCTACCTGGTTTGCCCTACTCATCTTTCAAGATAAACCTTGGGTTAAGTGAATTATCTCTCCGAAGCACTCCATGGCACATTGCTCTTCTACATTGTGGCACCTAACACACTTATGTGTAATTGCTTAATATTTTTCTGTCTCCTCCCCTAAGCTGTAAGCTTCCTTAGGAGAGAGACCATATCTATCTTGCTAATCACTGTCTCACCAGTACCTAGCACAGTATCTGGCACACTGGCACTCGATAAATATTTGATTGACTAAACATAAAATTATTATTATTAATAATAATGGCAGCTAATAATATTAATATTATTAATAAAATTAATAATGATTATGATGGCAGCTTACTATGTGCCTGGCACTGTCCTAAGTACTTTACATGTGTTAATTCATTTAATCCTTGAAATAATCCTAAATATCATTATTGTCTCCACTTTACAAATAAGGACATTGTGACGCAGAGATAGTAAATAACACAGCCTGAGGTTATATAGTCATAACATGACAGAGTCACAACCTGAACCCAGACAGTGGATCCAGAGCCTAGGTTGTCAGGACTCCTCCATACTGCCTCTCCTTCAAATATAATCCAGTTCAAAAGACACCTTCTGTGAAAACCGTATCTTACCATCCAATCTGAATTAGACATTTGTCTTCTGTATCCTATGACACCCTACATACACTTTCATCATAGTATTTATCACACTGCACTTTATGACTTGGTGTCCATTCCCCTTATTCCATGAGATACTGGAGGGCAGGAACTTTGACTCTGTGTTGAGTTTCTTTGTACCCTCAGGACATCACACATGGTACATACTCCAACTTTCAAGGATGGATGATAGAGCCTGAGTCAGAACCTTAGCGTTCATTTTCAGATTATCCACCAGGTGGCAGAAGAAGACAAAAGCTGAACAGAGGGCAAGATCCCTTACCTTTCACACTTGTCACTTTCTCCATGATGGTTTCCTGATCTTGGTACAGAGTCACCGTCACTGTGGCTCCCGATGTGCCATAGCCCCAAATCACTGCCCCTGCGGGCTCCTTCTGCAGCACCATGTAGTTATTGATGTAGGAGGCAAAGCGAAAACCAACATCTAAAATATAAAACAAACACTTAGCATCATTGGAAGATACATCACCAACTGAATCTGGTTACACAGTAAAGAACATAATAAAGCCTTTATACAGGCCAATTTGAATATATCCAGTCCTTTTAATCTTCTAAAACTAGATCTTATGCTTTCTAATTAGGTAAGCAACCCAACAAGAATTGCCAACAATATGCATCAAAGTACGGGGTTACCAATAAGGAAAACTCAAAGAACCTAGGGCAACCAATGTAACACAAGCCTCCTCACCCTCAGAGCTCTTGATCTGCCTTTGCCCTGGGTTTGGCCCTGACACTTCATTCACCTACAAATTGCTAAGATGCTCCTCTTATACCCCCCACAGATGGTATTTATGAGAAAAATAAACCACTTCCTTTCCCTACTTTCCATTACCACACCTACTCCTTGTTGCTGAGAATAAAGAAACCTGCCTCTCTCCAACACAGCCTTCCCGAATCTATCCCCCCACCCTTTATTTCCCCCTTTCCATCCTACCAGCATCAATTTCTCACAAATAATTCCCCTTACTGTGTTTTTTTTTTACAATCCATTAAAAATTCTAAATAAGCATTTATGAACATCTGCAAAGTCTGCTTCCTTCCAAGGTAAATTCAGATAAACTAAGATGAAAAAATAAGGTCGGTGAGAAACAGAAGGTCAAAATGTCAGAACAGAGGTCTTTCGTCTCAATTTTACCCATTTCACAAGCTATATTATATAAAAAGAACAAGAGAGAGCACTTGAAACTGTAGATTCTATTCTAGAGTCACTAACAAGACTGAATAAGAACTCACTTTAACGAGATCATTCCTATTTTTAACATGCAGCCTATATTGAAGTATTTTATTAATAACAAGCATCTATCCAAATTATCTCAGTGAGTTCCTCATCAAAACTTAACAAGGGGGGGGAAACTTAAGTTATGTCCCATTTTGTCTGAACAAAAGACTAAAATCCCTAGAAGAAAATAATTAACAAAGTTAAGTTTGTTTTTTTTTAAGGGTTTTAAACAAAAATGATAGGCAGGACAGAGAATGAGAACTAACAAAGTTGACATTTTTCTCCCTGGAAGCTACAAATGATGATGGCCCCTTAGGCCACGCTTAACAGGGCAGCATAGCTAATGGGGTCTCCTACACAGACTAGGTGGCCTATTTGTCCTGTGCTTCGAATAACAGCCCAGTTGCTACACATCTTCTGCTTGCTCTCTCTCATGAGTTTTAGTTCCATCATAAATCCGACATGACAACCAAAGATCATCCAGAAGGCTGGATAACGGGCTCGAGATGCACAGCTACCACAAGCAAAATGCTCTAAGAAGAGACTCCAACACCCCACAATTGCATAAGCAGGTTGGCAGCATGCTGGAGGGAAGGGGAGAGGCACACGTGTGGGAGGGCCTAGTCTTGGGTAGGTGCTTCATATGGAATGAAAACTGGAAACCAAAGGGCTAAGAGCTAAGCAGAGAGGATGAGGGTAGGGGGGAACGGAACTGGCTGTCACTTGTACACGAGCCTGTGCAAATGAAGGGCTGAGTGCAGCCACTGTCTTACAGGCTGGGACACATCTTTCCAAGTTCCGTCTGTTTCTACCAATACACACTTACTGGACCTCACTGTGCCTGGCTCTATTCTGTGTTAAAGAATTTTAGAGATAGAAAGGATCTTTCAAAACGAAAGAAAGAAAGAAAGAAAGAAAGAAAGAAAGAAAGAAAGAAAGAAAGAAAGAAAGAAAGAAAGGATCTTTCACACTCGGAGGTAGAATCTTGTTATTTACTGATCAACATTGACCCCCACCCCGGCTAGATTGGGTAATTTTGGTTAATAGCTTGTATATTAATTAATTAATTCGACAAGTATTTAGTGTTATCTACTGTGTGCCAGACACCATTTTAAGCACTGGGGATATAATAGAAAAAGAAAGGGGAGCCTGGGTGGTTCAGCGGTTGAACATATCTACCTTTGGCTCAGGGCATGATCCCAGAGTCCTGGGATCCAGTCCCACATTGGGCTTCCTGCATTCCTGCATGGAGGCTGCTTCTCCCTCTGCCTGTGTCTCTGCCTCTCTGTGTCTCTCATGAATAAATAAATAAAATCTTAAAAAAAAAAAAAGAAAAAGAAAGGAAGGCAAAGGGAAAAAAAAACACAAACCTCCAGCAACAGGGAGGTTCCATTCTACTGGGGAGCTTATTTCTGGCAGGCACAAGCACGCTGCATGTAGCAAACCCCTTTGACCGACCTTAAATCACGTAGGTAGTTCATGTCAGGACTTGGAACCAAGCCACCTGATTCCAAAACTACTGCAATTTCCACTCTGCTGCAGTTAGATACTGGTGGTAAATTAAAAAAAAAAAAGTCATACTTTCTGCCCTTATAAAGCTCACATTCCAACCAGATAAGAGTAGAGAGTGGAACATTACCAAGGAATTGAGCAATGGACAAAATAGGAGAACAAGAAAGGAGGCAGGACTGGTCATTCCTTTTGTCAAACACAAGACACTTAGCATTTGAATTTTTTTTTTTTAGGTCTTTAATTTTTTCCATCGTTTGGGCATTGGAGTAGAAAACACAAATTAACATTGTGGGGAAATTAAAAGTAGTCATTAGAAGCAGACTGACAAAATTAGGACGGCGGTTAGGTTACCTCTGGTGAGGAACTGGTGGGATGCACTGGGGAGGAACATCCAGGGAGTCTCAATAAAACTGGCAATGTTCTAGATCTTAAGTTGGGTGCAGCACCCTTGGGTGTTCATTTTCTTGTTGCATTGCTCATATATTTTTGTGCACTTCAAAATATTATGCAGTCAACACGGGCACAAGGGGGAATGATTTGAAGGAAAGATGTGAGGATATGCCACCGAATAAGAAGGAAAGAAAATTTAAAGCATTAATGAAAAAAATACACTCATCGGTCATGAAGGTAATGGAACCATAAAACCCAAAGGTGAAGACTGAATACAGGACTGGCATTAAAGTTAACAGCCTTTAAGAGAAGATCTAATAAAAGAATGGCCCTGCTCTCCTCCCATATGCTAGGCTCAAAGGTCACTGAGTGGGGATGAGAGCCAGCAAGGGATCCCCAGGGGGCTCAGCGGTTTAGCATCCGCCTTCAGCCCAGGGGGTGATCCAGGGGTCCTGGGATAGAGTCCAGCATCAGGCTCCCCCACTGGAGCCTGCTTCTCCTTCTGCCTGTGTCTCCGCCTCTCTGTGTGTGTCTCTCATGAATAAATAAATTAAAAAGAGAGAAAATGCTATGCAGAGTGCTGCTGGTTTACACTTGTGTTAAAGCCTGAGAAACTCCTGATGGGCCACAGGTGGTCTCAGTCTGGGTACTTTTGGGTTCTCAGGTAAAGTGACTGCCAGTTTTCTGCACCCTATCCCCATTCTCACTTCAACCTATCTTTCTTAGCAGGGGTCTTTGGGATCCACTCTTTGAATGGCTTGAAGAAAACAGGTGCAGCGTGAGCACTTTACTAGGCATTAATTAGTGGGCAGATCCCACCTGCTGGTTCTCCACGGTTGTGGCTCAGCGTCCAGCCCGGGGTCCTCAAATGGCAGGATCCCACCTGGACAGTAGTCCAAGCCACATCACGAATATAACCTCACCACCGCCCTCTGTCAGCTGCGCCAGAGATCAAAGCTAGGCCTTAAATACTCTGAGCTACTGAGGGGGTTGTATTTCTTAGCCCTAATCACCACTTAAAGTAGTCAGACGTAATTCCCCCAAGGAACCAAGCTCCAAGCACACCCTCCCCAAGGGTACCACTGAGGGGGCAGCAGGGAAACGCTGTGGGTGATGACTCAGTCACCTGTTTCCAAATATTACCTAACTCGCTTCGCCCCCTTCCCTGCGGGTTCCCCTGCAGTTATCCGGGGACCCCGAGGGCCTCGGTCTGGCGCGATCGGGCCTCCGGGCTCAGACACCCAAACCTCCCCTCTGGGCCACAAGGGGCATCGTGACGACGGCGGGAGGACGCGGACCCGCCGACACCCCCGCCCAGCAGGCACCTGCGGCCCAGCCCGGGTCGGAGGGCGGGCGCCGGGGTGGCAGGTGCTGCGGCGGACGCGGGACCTCGGAGCCCGCGCAGGCCGGCGGGCAGGGGCCGGGCCGAGTGCGCCGCCTCACCTGCACTCGTGGCGGCCAGCAGGACTAGAGGCAGCACCAGCCCAAACACAAACCTCGGCGCTGCCATGTTCGCGAGGATCCGCCGCCCGCGTGCTGGACTCCGGGTGCCCTCTGCAGGCGGGGCGGGGCCGTGGGCGGGGCCGTGGGCGGGGCTGTGGGGGGGCCGTGGGCGGGGCCGGGAGGTCTGGCTCCACCCCTCCCAGGCCGCTCTGTCGCGAAGCCGTCCGCGGCCGCCGGGCGAGGCCGGGCCTGTCCCCTTCCCGGCCGCCGTAGTGGAGTTTAAAAAAAAAAAACGGTTACCCAGCAACGAGAAATAACAACCGGAACCATCGGCAACCAGCTCTGCGAGAACGGAGAGGTGAGGCGGTTTTCCCCACTTCCTCTCCAGACCCGAGACCTCGCCTGTCCCCTGGGCCTCCCGCGTTCTCTCGGGATCCCCGACACATTCCGGGATCGCGAGGGCACCTGGGGCGCCGAGGCCGCCTGCGATCCCCGATCCTCGACGTCCCTCGAGGGCCCCGGTCCCCGCTCGGAGCGCCCTCCCCTCCCCAGACCCGTCCAGGGTCTCGCCCTGCCCTGGAGTGATTCGGTACCTCATCTCCCGTGCCCTCGAAAACCGAAAACATCCTGCACGCCGTGGGCCTCGTGACACCGTCTCGCCCCTGACCTAGACCCCACCGGCCGGCGGACCGTGTGGCATTGGCACCTCCACCAAAGAGGGCCAGGGTGTCGTTTGCACACTCAGCCGCCCACCCCGCTGCTTGGCAGCTGTCCTCGGTCCAGTCCCGTATTCCAAGACCGGAAGATCAGACCTGGTCAGGACAAAACCGGAAAACACAAGAATCCCCAAATCCTGGAGCCTGGATTTGCAAAATCTTTGATCTTGCCTCCGCCCTCTGAGCCCCTGCTGCCCCTTTCTGGGGGGTATGTAGGCCTTTCCGGGCATTGTAGGTCATGCTTCGGAAGTGGAAGCAAGGGGCAAGACCAATTAAGTGTTACTCTTCTTCATTCAACAAATTAGAGTAATTTCTAGAACCAAGATTGGCTCTTACTTCATTTTTTTGAAATTTTAAACCCCCTAAGAGTGTCTTCTTGGTAATTTCTGATGAATTTTTAACAGTACTTCTGAGTTCCTGTGGGATAACAAAAATTACCCTCATCTTTTTAATATATGTTTTAAAATATATATTATTATATATTATACATATATCTATTATATTATATATTTAATATATATTAAAATATATATATAAGGGACAGAAATAAAAAGTGTTCTAGTGAAAAAAAAATCTGCAATTTTTGTAATTTAAAAAATAATGATTAGGCCTAGTAAATGAGTTTGTATTTGTAATATTCTAATTAATGATAGAGAGTCCGAAACTCTGGAAGAAATGATGGACTGGGGTTGTGTTGGGGGGAGAATTAAAGTTCAGGAAATTTGGGTCTCAGAAATAATTTGCCGTCATAATTGTGATTATATAAGTAAAATCAGACAAGCTTACAGACAATACTCTCTAACGAATCTCTAGGTACAATAGGCAGTTCCTTCCAAGGAGATGTCGATTCCATTCTCCAACACCCACTACCGAATTCCACAAGGATTTGGCAATCTTCTTGAAGGGCTGACACGGGAGATTCTGAGGGAGCAACCAGAAAATATACCAGCTTTTGCAGCAGCATATTTTGAAAATCTTCTAGAGAAACGAGAGAGTAAGATTTTTTTAATAGGCTTTTTTTTTTTTTAAGTAAGAGACTAAGCATTTGTTTATGGTGAAACTGGGTCAAGACCATTCTCATTCCACAGAAAGCCTTTATGAGGCAAGTAGCTTCAAATAACAGTTCTTGCTATAGAAAACATGTGCCTTTATGATAAGTTTTCTTAAGTCACATTATTTCACATTATTGAAGATTACCAGTTGATTACTCAGACCTTCTTTGTTGTATTTTTCATGGACACACTGGGTGGAAGGGAACCTCAAGAGATCATCCAACCTATCCCTCCGTCTCCCAACAGGCTGTTCCAATGCATGCCAAGCAGCTGACTGCCTAGTCCTCCTGGGAAGAGAGTTTGGTTGTCTTTACATGTTGACTCTTCTTACTTCAAAGTATTATAACTGTTGTAAAAAATAATTCTATGTTCCTTACATTAAATAGATTGGTATTTGCTGGGGTATGTGAAACTGTCTGCAAAAAAGCACAGAGTAATACTGCTTTTAAAACTAAAATTCCAGGGGTGTCTGGGTGGCTCACTCAATTAAGTATCTGACTCTTGATTTTTGGCTCAGGTCTTGATATCGGAGTCGTGAGTTCAAGCCCCATATTGGGCTCCATGGGTGTGGAGCCTCCTTAAAAAAAAAAAAAAAAAAAAAAGAAGAAGAAGAAATCCCAGCTTGGGAAGTAATTTATATCCTTTCTCTATTCTTCCAAGGTCCTATCCTGCCCAGAGACTAAGATTCATGCTAACAATGACTCTTTGGCTGAAAGCCAGAGAAGTTTCTTCACTTCCAGAAATAAAATTTCCAAATTCCTAGCTTTGAAGTCTCATAACTATCAAAATCTGATCCAGTAGTCAAAATGGGAATTATTACAGCTATGCATCTCTATAAAAGAAAAAAAAAAAAACCTATTCTTGACTAGAACAAACATTTTGTATGCGCTGTTTCCATCATTACTTTTGACTGCAGTATTCCAACAGAGTGGTAAAAGTGACTAGAAATAACTACAAGTAATTGAGCATTCGATTTTAAATCATTTTCCAGAAGAAGGAAACCTACCACAAGGCTTGAGTTGAAACAACTCCCATACACACTGCACCGCTCCACCATCTTGTCTTCTTTTCTCAACCCCGGCAGAGCTCAGAATCTCTGCCAATTTCCTGAATGTTGCTGGTCTTTTCCATATCCAGTCAGTATGAATATCTGTTGTATAATTTAAAACTTACATGCTACTAAAAAGCGATTAAAAGAACTCAGAGTAAGAGGTGAATTATAATGGGCATTAATTTTGTTATTATAACATTAATTTTACAAACTCATGAGTAAAATGTCTTTAGTCATTTATTTAATTTTAGATTTCAGAAATGTCCCATTGCAAAAACATTTGAGTCATTGTTAGTGGATCATGATAATTAAAGCAATTGGTGATTCAGAGTAATAGTCTCAGAATACTAGTCTCTAACTAAAAAACTAGATAAAACTACTTGAAAAAATTTAAAGCACCATACTCAATTCCACTCATGTAAACCAAAGGTGAACTATCCAACTGATGCAAGTATCAGAATATAGTCTACCCAAAAGGGAAGAAAAAAGTCCTCTAGCCTAGTGTCTCTGACAATGCAAGAATTCCCTTCCAGCAGTCTTCATAGGTAATTATTAGTCTTAACTTTGATTTTTCTGACAGAAAACATGTTAGCATTTGATATAAGTGGTATCTCAAATCATTAGGGGAAAGGTGGGCTTTTATTAAATAATGTTGAGATAAAGATGGAAAAAAGATAAAATTGAATCTATTCCTTACATCATACACCAGGGTAAGTTCCAAACTGATCAAAGATTTAAATTTTTTTAGATTTAAATTTTTAAATGAAATCATATAAACAGATAAGGAACATGGATGAATTTCTCTGTAATATAAGAGAGGAAAAAACTTTTCTAGCTAAGGTGCTATAATTATTTAAAAATCCAAAAGCAATGAGGGAAAAAAAGACTGGTAAGATTGACAACATAAAACTAAAGTTTTACATGGCAAAATCGCCATAAGAAAAGTGAAACTACTTACAAATGCTAAACTGAAGAAAAACATTTGCCCAACAGGTTAATAAACCTAATAAAGTTTTGTGAAGATACGGAAGAAAAAACAATAACCTTTTATAAAACGATGGTCAAGAGATATGAGCAAACCACACAAAAAAATGCAAATTGCCCTTAACATGTGGGAACACACTGAAACTAACCCATAACAACATAAGCCAGATCAAAACTACACTGGGATACATACCACTACCAACTCCCCCCATCAGACTGGCAAAAAAACCAAAGTTTGCCAATTTATTCTAGACAAAGCTAGAGGGGAAATAAACAGTCATATACATTGCTGGAGGAGATATAAAAAGATATAACCCCAAAGAAGAGAATTTGACCGAGAAGCTCCACTTCTTCCCTTTTCATTGCATCGTTTCTTGAGGAAACAATCGAAACATCCATCATAGGGAATTTGTTGAATAAACTAGAGGACATCCATACAATGGAATTAATTATATATAACTACTTAAAAAACAGAATGAGAAAGATCTCTATATGTTGCTATAGAGTGATCTTGAGGATATGTTAAGTGAAAAAAGTAAGGTGGAAAAAAAAGTGTTTAGTATACTACCAATTACCTAACAAAGGGATGTTGATATGAATATATAACTATTCATTTATATTTTTAATGAAAGACTAAGTCTTTTAAAAGTCTACATTTACCTCTGGAGGAAAAGTAACAGAGTGGAGGGAACAGTATAGAAGGTAGAAAGCTGGACTTCTCTGAATATATCTTGAATTCAAAATCACAAATGTTCAACATAGTGTAAAGTAGAAAGAAATTTTTAAAAATTTTAAGCAATCTCTAAAGTTTGGAAGTGAAGTGAAACAAAGGAGCCTAACTACTATTAAAAATGGGTAGATATAACCACACAGAAAAATTATTTCAAGTGACTTGATAATACATACAGTAATGTGTACATCTCTGGTGGATATACCCTAAAAACAAAATGAAGTAAAAAAAAAAAGAAAGTCTTAAATTGTTTTCAGTAATCATTGTTAATAATATTATAATTACAGTTTTTATTCACTGTAGGACATAGCAAACAAGTAACTATCCTACTGTTATTAGAATAAGATTTTTAATAAATAAATAAAATCTTAAAAAAAAAAAAAAAGGGATCCCTGGGTGGCGCAGCGGTTTAGCGCCTGCCTTTGGCCCAGGGTGTGATCCTGGAGACCCGGGATCGAGTCCCACGTTGGGCTCCCGGTGCATGGAGCCTGCTTCTCCCTCTGCCTGTGTCTCTGCTTCTCTCTGTGTCTCTCATGAATAAATAAATAAAATCTTTTAAAATAAAATAAAAGATTTTTAGTATAAG